GTGTATTGTGACTAAAAGAGAACTGAATTGAATAGAAGTGAAAGAAGCTATCATCACATCAAAGCAGTTTAATTTAACTATATTTGTTTTTTGTTCCATCTACACAAAGCTGACTTGAATAATTTAGGATGTTTATATTTGTGGGGAGTTACGTGCTTAATTCTGATAGCATCTTGTTCTTAAAGTGCGAGTTCACTGAAAGCTCTTTGCAACAGTATAGTAGTACTTTAATTACCAAACATACAGGAATTTAATACCAAGGAGAAGTTTTTAAGCTGTACTACTTAAAGAAAATGCATTGACTGTATGTATGTAGTGACGGTGGGTTTACACTTTAAAAACCCAATGAACATGTCTTATGACTTTGTACTGAGATTGGCTGTCTAGTTTGTTGATTAAATAGCAAACTGTTTAAAGGCTCAGTGGCATGAATTCTACACTCTGTAATACTCAAAACTTTACCAAGATGAAAAAATAAAACAGTATCACATCAGACCAAGTTATAATACGCATCCAGGCCCGTGAGTGAGGACTGCAGTGTTTTGGCTCGTGGATAAGCAACGCTTGCACAGCACTATAGCCTACAAACATGTGGATGAACAGTTTCTACATGTATGTGCGTATGTGTCACGTTGGGGGAGCAAGCCCACGGAGAAGATAGGGGCTCTGTCAGGGGGCAAGAGGAGGGTGGGTGGGACTCTGGGCTAAGTGCAGAGGGGAGATAAGGAAATCAGGAAAAGAATCAACCCAAAAGAACCCCCCAGTGGCACTGCAGGGAGTGAGTCGTGAACTGGACAAGTTGTTTTTCACTTACATGGGGGAGGGAGACTGGAGCAATGTTTATCAGGGCTCTGCAGCTCTTATTCAAAACTAACTGCTGGAGCCTATCCCCTCCCAGATTACCTCCAAAGACTCAAATAAAGTTTTAAACAGGCTTTCTCCGTTTTTTAGACTCTTGCTTGAAACCATTACTCTAACCCTAACAGATTATCATCTTGAGCACCTGAACAATCTTGCATGTTTTGTCCAGAGAGGGTTAAAGCCATCCTACACAGTGTAATGAGAACATTGCGCATTGAATGCCTCGCAGAATGATTTTAATCCTCAACAAAAAACACCACATACATGCTAAAAGAAATGATTGGTAGTGATCATTCCAAGCTGTAGTTTATTCCGATACAGATGTATCCACACAGAAAAACTATTTTAAAACTATAGTGCACAAAAAATAAAACATATTACTTATTCCCATAGCTGCCGATTATGGTTCACTGCCTTGGCCCCCAGACACTAATTGTTGCAGACACAGAGAGATCAAATAACAGATCTCCAGACTCCAGGCACTCTTGCAATACAGTATGAAGCTAAAGAGTAACAACACTTACATACTGACTGTTAAAAACAAAAGCAAATAGTGACCTTGTTTTTACAAAACTGAAATAGTTAAGGAAAATTATCCACAAATTACCATTTTAACATCAAAGTGCACTTATTCATAATACAAGGCAATGTATATATGGTAGGACATTCAGTCATACTGCTTTATTATAAGTCAATGCGATGTCCAGTTATCTTACACTTTCATTTAGATGCAGTAAAAGTAATATTAGAGTGAATCTACAGGGGACAAATTCAAGTGTGAGAAAACCACTAAAAACAGTTTGATAATCTGCTTTTCCATCAATTCCACCTACAATAACTTGAAAAATGCCCTGTTTAATCCATGTTGGATTTTTCCAGGCAACACCGAACTGAAAATTCTCACAAGGACTAGTAGTTCTGGCCCTGTCATCTAAATATAGAGCCTGCAGAAACAGATAGCATCCAGCCCACTGACATTATCCAGCCCTGGGGGTGTCAGGAGCAAACTGTCGAAGAGACAGCACTGTGACACGAAGGGCTGCAAATAGCCAAAGCTCGTGAGGAGTGAGAGAGAGGCCCTGTTGGGCACATACAGACAACAACACCCCCTCCACACACTTCCCCCACTGAAACCGAGTTCTTGTTTTTCTTTTTCTTTGTGACAGCTGGAAAAAGGGAGGGGTTGATGTGAGATTTAGCTTGCCACATTGCAACACAATTACGGGGACAGCAGACATACTCTAGGGCCCTATTGTCACCAATAACCCCTATGAAAGCACACAGTATTTTACAAGGCAGCTGCTGAAGCCCAGCTCATCTCCTTTGTGAAAGCACTTGTGTTTTTTGCTCCAAATACTGTCACTCCTCCATGCAGAACCAGTTCCTGTACAGCAGAAGAACAAATTAGCTTCAGCCTTCCTCCAGTGTGACCCGTTTCCACCCCCTTATTGTGGCATACATAAATAAAAGTACTTGCAATTTTCAATAACTATAAACAGATGGCTATATGCAATTAACAGGTTAAATAAAAAGTATTCTCTCAAAATAACAGCCATTAAGCATTTAATTCTAAAATGCAATACTGAATAAACGTTAGTCTTCCATACATACTTGGTCGCTTGCTGAATTTACCCCTGTAGAAAATAATTTACAATTTATTTCACAATGTCCAGAGCAAACAGCGCAAAACCTTTCACAGTGGGCTTTAAAAGCTTTTACTTCTGAGCACAATTAGGTGTAAGTAGGTGCCAGTGTACACTATGAATACTTGAAATGTGCAACAGTAGCTGTCTCTTCTGTATCCTATGGAAACTATGAATGTCACAAAGGAAAATGACTCAAACGCAAGAGAAAGAAAGAACCCCAAGATGAGACAGGCCCTGCGTACTGCAAAACCACCAATGGTGTTTACTCATACGTGTTAGCTGCTGACTCAGCAGAATCCTCCTGGGACTAGAAGACCCTCCTGTTCATCAAGGGTCTCCAACATCATTAATTCAAGCTGGAGAATATGGGGAAAATTCATCATAAAAGGCATTAAAACAGACAGCAGTGAATAAACATTTCAGACCTTCCTCTAAAAGGACCAAAAAAAGTCAAACCCTCAAAGCATTTACTTAAGGAGCTCTGCTGTAATTCATCTCTTCCCGACATTGCCTCAGATACTCTGTGTCGTGTCTCCACACCACGCTGGTGTCATTCCTAGGCCAATGTTTAACACCCCAAGATGTTCTAAACTTAGAACAAATGAATGCCACTTAAGATTAATGTTCTGAACAATACTGACCCAAGTCCTAGTCACCCAGTAGACTGATTGTAGAACATTACTTTTTGTCATATCTCGCAGCTGAAAGAGACCTTAAGGACAGTGATCTTTCAGCAAAAAAATGTCTCAAGAAAAAGTAAGAAGTATTTACAACACTCAAACATTGACAATGCTTATTGTCATCTTGCATGATTTTCTTCAGATGGAAGGGAACCTAACCGAGCTCTTCTGTGCAACCCTGATCCTTCCTGCTGTGGTATATAGTGTTGTCACAGGCGTGTTCTCTGGTGAGAGCCACAGACGTCTGCCGTCTTTGCTCTGGGAAATGCGCATGGTTTTGGCTCACAATACTGCCTGCACATTCTGATAAACCAGGGCCCCCCCCAACGTCCCATACCCTTCTGCCTGCACAAGACCCAGTGCGATAAGCGCACAGCTCGGGGCAACCGAAACGCATCACAAGCAAGGTCTTCAAACCCACGCGAGCAGGGCAATGTCTGCATCCTAGAACGACGTGATGTACTTCAGGTATTCCGTTATGCTCTTACCCATTTCTTTTCCAACAGAGAAAACTAAAAGGTATGAAACACTGACTTTAAATGAATGGATGCAGACATAACTGTCCTGAAGTCTTATTACAGTAAATAAAAGTAAGAATCAATTTTAAGACATCTACATAAACCAGAAAAACAAGTCCTGAAAAAAAAATTAAAACAAAAGCAGACAACTGGTCCGGGCCCACAGTATAATATTTAAGAAGTGGACAGTCACCACTTATGCAGAGGAAAGCCAAAAGCAGCAAGGAGCTTTCCTCCATCTTTAAACCAGTATAAAGAGCCTTTGAGGCCTGTTTGTTGACTGATACTGCAGAGCTGAAGTGATTCCACCACAAGTCAGAGATGTGGGTACAGTTCTCTCTGCACAGCAGAGACTAGACCTGAGGATTTGTTTGAAGATGAGGAAGGAATATAGCTTAATGTTAATGCTTAGTGCACAGCTAATAATCACCAGCTCTATAAACATACATTTGAAGTTGTTCTATAACCCCACATGTAGACTCTTCAGTCAAACGGCCTTATTCACTGAAAGATTGAATACTCCCTTTTAACCACCTGGTAGGTACTCCATACCTTGTGGGGGGAAAAAAATAACTAGGCTGCAACTGCTTACCTAATGATGTACAGAATCAAAAAGGTATAATGAATAAGTCTGATATATCCACTACTGGAAGACAAAGGGAATAACCAGGATGTATCTACATGTAATGTACTCATTACATAATCAGAATCAAGGAAAATTAAACTTCGTGTTCTTGATTATGCTTTCGCCATTTTCTTTTCCAACAGAGAAAATTGAAATAAACATTATGACGAGAGACCAAAAGTCATATTTATAGTAAATTATGAACGTAAGAATCAATCTGAAGGCATCTATATAAACCCCAAAAAACAGTCATAAACCAGAAGCCCAGAGTATTAAAGACTTGGGAACTGGTACTGTTTGTAGCCCCAAAAAACAGTCCTCCTGTTACTTACACACCACCTTGCATGTTCCCCTCAACACCAAGCTATGGTGACTCATAATACCCACTGTACAGGGACTCTCTATTTTAAACAAATGTTCTGATGTTAGTGTTGATTCAGTATTTCTCAGGCCCAGATTTTAGCCATTTTATAATCCCTTTTGCATCAACTGAATATAGAACATGCCCATTGTAGAAATAGGTAATCAACCTGGAACATTACTTTAAACAGGGGTTTCACATACTGTTGTAGGACTTCCAACTGCATACAGATCACTTTTCTTGTAATGTGCTCTTTTCAGTGTCAGGCTCTACCAAAATGTTTGAAGCAAAAGCAAGCAAACCACTTTGTGTATTTTCCAATATTTACAATTTATTTTTATTTGTATGGCTTCATTGTACATAAATAACATGGTACTGAAAATGCTCCAAAACCTCCGTGTCGGCAAATTGCGGTTATGGAACAAAAACGAATATCATTCCTTCTGAAACTTGTCCCGTTAACTATACGCTGTTCTTTAACAGTCTGCAAAAAGCTCATTGTTCATGTTTCAAAAGTTTTAACCTGTGAACCAACAGAAGCAAATAATCCAGAACGAGCCTGTAAATTTTAAATATTTCAACATAAATACTGTAGATTTATCTTAAAGATGCAGCAATCTTCTTTTAAAAAAAGTGGACACAGGCATGATTTTTAAAAGCATAATTTGACATGACCTTAGATTTAACAGTTATATATAAAATACATAGGTTTTACAGTGTCAACTACCTTATAAATATTAACCCTTACCCCCCTCCCCCCTGTTACCATTGCATATTGAAATCAGTTACCCTAACTGGATCTAGAATAATTTAATAAGAACAAGTGAACATGAGCGTTAAAGACAGAAAAAAAAATCTATTTTAAAGGTTTCGTTCTTTAAAAAAATGGCCTATGATATTCACAGTGGGAAAAGAGCATTAGTATAGCAGTCTTAAGGCCTCATAAAAAAGTATTCCTGCCTTTTTTTTTTTGGACAATTATAATTTCAAAAAGATTGAAGTCTCACCTCGTACCTCTCAGACTGAATGAAAGCAGTCTGCTGTCCCTTTTAGGAGACGGTAAACTTGTAAATTCACGGCCTGACTGAACGGCTCTCTCCGAGGGCGCGAGCCACGCAGCGGCGCCTTGATGACACCGAAACGCTCGACCCCTCCGCGGGCGCACGCGAGCTCCCTCCTCGGCGGACGGGGGTCTCTTCACCCGCCCGCGCTGGAGCGGCCTGTACAGCCCAGTCTAGCTGGTCCTGAGCCGGACCATCACCCCTCCCTCCCCCCGGCGCGGTGAAAGCAGGCTGCAGGTTCTCCTCTTTTGCCAAATCATCAGCAACTCGGGACGCTCGTCGCTCAGATCAGGACCGCGTTTGGCAACAGACACGGGTCAGGTTTCCATTGTTTGCAAAAACAGAAACGACAAGGATAGTGGCAATCAATGTCCAAAATGTGTTTGTGGAAGCCCTTGATGCGATCGTGTCCTTCAGTCACAGAACTTCATCCTGGTGTGTGGTGTTGCATCATGTCATAGTGCAATTGACTGAGTCACCAGTCCCCCCCTCCCCCCCCCAGGCCCAGCAGTGCACGGCCCCCCCCCATCTTAAACCCCCCCCACAGCATCTCACTGCATGCGGTCGGGGTGCACCTGCTGGGGGGGGTACTGGATGAAGGCGGCAGAGGGGGCAGCTGCCGTGGAGAGGGGCTGCTGGACTGCGGCGGGGGTCGAGGCTGGGGTGGGGGGATACCCGTACCCCAGGAAGCTGGGCGAGGCGGCGTAGGGATACTGCTCGAAGGCAGCCGAGGCGTACTGGGTGTAGGCGGCGCTGTAGTCCAGGTAGGGCGAACCTACAGAAGACACCTGGGTAGGGATCACCAGCCCCGGCTGAACGAAGGCCTGGGGGTACACATATTGTTGGGTCAGCCTGCAAACAAGATACAGGGTCGTTAGTCACATGAAGGAAAGGGGGGGAATGCATCTGTTGAATTGGAGAATGACTGCTATTCATAATCAAACTGTGTTTCGGTAATTCTCCAAGCACGTCACAGTAAGTGACCACCCATGTCTTCAAGCTCAGATGGAGGTGTACTTGTTTTTCATGCCACTAAACAGAGGATATTTCAACAGTATTAAAAAAAAACAGAGTGCATTTCACAGCAACTACCTTCAGTGATATGAAGTTAAGCAAATACTTCTGACCTGGTTGTGTTTTCAAGAGAGCAAATTGTTCTGGGTATTTTTAACTGTTGGATTATCCTCCGTTTTCCCCAATAAAGAGCAAGTCTACATCCACCTGAGCACATTATGATTTAAGGTTTCTGCTTCTGTAACATTTACAGCGATTGGTTGGCTTTTTCAAGGCTCAGTATTTTAGGAAAATGCTTCTCATCGACGCATCGATACATTCATGACTTTCATTAAAAAAAAAGTTTCAGTGGCAGTTCTGAAACACTAGAATTAAGTCTTGGTCCACTTTTATCGAGGTATTACAAAACCAGTGCTAAACCAATGCGTGGAAAAACAAGAGCTCGAGCATGTCTAGGTCTGGTTTCCACACACTTCCACAACTGGATTCATCTTACCGTTTAAAAAAGGTGCAAAGGAAACGGAACAAGTCAACTTAATTCACCTGTGTGAAGCAGCACTAACTGACAGCACGGAAACAGGTGAAAAAAATGATTGTTCCACTTTGTTATTCAGTGATCAGGCCAAACATTAAACCGTAGTCTTTAACTTGTGCTGGGAGCAATTCAGAAGAGATGTAGAGGACTAGGCCAGAGGGCTGCTTGCTTTAAAATTGGAAATAAAGCTTGTATAGCCGACAGATACAAGACTGATAGCATTGCCTTTGTTCAGGCCCATGGTAAGGCTGTTCATCTTGATCAGGACTGCCCAGGATCCAGAATCTGTGTTGGGGCCAGCTATTTTTAACTCGGCCTTGGAGCCTGACAGCCAGCACTGCAAGTCTCCCTGCACAGCTCCTCTGAAGACTATGGGGACTGACAACCAGCCAAAGCCAGACAACAAACATGCCATGTAGAGCAACCCAGTGCTGTAACAAAGGAGGCAACTGGCTGGCTGAGAGAGAGAACGTACAGCTACTGTAACAGCACAAGAAGTCAAATACATATCCAAAGTTGATCCTAATTTCGTATTTTGAACGCTTCAAATTCGGAATCCCAACTCCAACAAAATAGTGATACTAAAATATTACTTTTGTGCCTGTCTCCTAAAGTGGGGGGGGAGAGAATGAGCATTTTATCAATTTGTTACACATGGCTACAAATGGTTGGTTAGTGGGAATCCATCTACTACAGTAGGACTGTAAAAATCAGATCCAGGCACACTGCTATATGAAGTGAGCTTAATTTCACACTTTAACCAGCAAGGAGTGCAATCAGTCAGGTGATAACATGTGGTTTCCTCACTCAGACAAGATGAACTGGTGGAAGTACATCCGCCCCACACACCCAGAAACCCCTTTGATCGGGGGTGGGGGGAGGTATAGGTACATCCATCCTCTGCAGCCCTGCCCCAATCTCCCATGATGCAAAGAAGTCCCAGTGATCACACTTCAAACTATAAATCACCACCGTCACTGCAAACCAAAGCCATGCTAGAAAACAGACGATCACTCTCGGGCGTCATAAAATAAATCACAGCCAGTTCAATACACACAGGGTAAAGCACTCGATTGCACACCACAGCACTGCAGAGCACACACTTTTCAGACCCACAGCCAGAGCCGCAGGGGTTGACAGCGATGGCGCTCCTAAGGGAAAGAGCCTCCAGTCAGGGAAAGACCGGGTCCAAACCTCAGAGGCTACCTGAGCCATGCTCCTTCCAAGCAGACTGCTTCAAACTGCCACCAGAGCACCAGAAAGAAGGAGTTAGAGACAGTTCAACATTGCTCATCACTTAAAAAAAAAAAAGAAGAGACAGAACAAGCAGAACAATGACATGCAGCCGTGTTGAGAATTTACTGGTATAGGAATGGGGATAAGGTCATGGCCTTTTCATAACAACGTAAAGCACATCAGATCCAATTCATAAATCTGGAGCAATATCTTTCAAACCACTTTTTGAACATGTTTATTTGTTGCACCATCTTGCAGTGTGCAGTTATTGCATCACATTCCATTTTGTATATTCTGCATACTGTATATCAACGCTTTCACCCCATGCAGAGTTTCAAGGGAGAGAAGCAAGGACGAGCTGTAAACCGACTGAGCTTTAAGAGCTTCTGAAATCTTAGTGAAGTCTGGACAACCAACAGGAAATATTTAAACAGATCCTGAAATGCAAGTCCCCTCCCTGCACATGACTTGGTCGCTCAGTTTGCATTTAAGAAAATGTTTTCTCATCGCAACACCCACTGATAAAGTACCATGAACATACACAATACCCAAACTATCAATTATGAATGTTAGTTTGTAGTGCTTTGCGCACAAGACTGGATTAACAAACAATGCTTCATTCAGTTCCAAACCAACGCACAGAACATTCTGCGATTTAGGATTTGGCACTCCGGTGTAAGACTGGTATACCTTTGAAAATTAGGATTGCACAAGGAGAAACAAAATGATGGTCAAGATCATTAAGTGACGAGGGATATTTAATGGTTAACCCAAATATAATACTAATTACATAGTGTATGTTTATTTTAGATTTTTGTACTTGGCTAAAAGGGTGAAAGAGGGCAACCTCAACCTAGATTAACATTTCAGTCTGCTTTTCCTTTTCTCCCCCTCAGCCTGTCTGCGTTTATAGCCATCATCAATGAAGGGACAGTCCCCCACGCATAGCTGGGAGCATCTGGGCACACTGGAGCTCCTGGAGAGCTGAGAAGTGTTCAGCACCCCATTACTCCTCATTTGAAACAGGAATGCAATACACAGAGGGAAAGAAGCAGTGCATTTAAGAGCTTGTGACATACTGTGAACATTTGCTGTTCTACTGGAGAGGAAAAAAAAAAAACAAGCGCTTTCCCCAGTTTAAAATGAAGAAAACTTGTTCAATTTCTCCCTCTTGTCCCGTGGGGCATAGAGGGCCCTTCTCCCTAGCAGATATGTCCCAAGTGAGGGATAAGTTCGATACTCACAACACTGGTGTTGAGGTGCATGTGCTTCCGAAAAAGCAAATAACTTGACAATCTCAAAGCTAAATGGGGAAAAACCTAGCTTTGTGGTTTAAATCCTTGCACAACAGACAATCCAGCACTACGAAGCCACATCTGGTGGCAAACGCTTTATCACGGGTCTTAGAAATCTCCTGGCAGGATAATGCAATGCCTGTTACCAGTCAGCTTCCTTCAGCATGACTGAAGATCAGTGACCATTTGGATAATATCCCTTAAGTGTTGAAGGGATATTTCAACGCGTTTATTCAGTTCCACAGCCATATTAAGGAACACCAAGTGGAGACTACGGAGAAACCGACTTAAAGGCGTTTCTGCCAGCCGGCCAAACAAAACCTCAACTATACACGACTCAAATACTATGCTGAATAAAACGGGAAGGAAGATGCAATTTTCAAAAATTGTAGGTATAAGGGTATTTTCACACTTTGATTTATATGTTTTCAACAAAGGCAAGTTCATCCAAATCTCGATACTTTAAAAGTAGCAGTGGAGGAAGGGCGGGGCCAGTCTCTTCAGCATTCAGCCCCTCTTGCACATTTTCTTTGTCTTAATCCCCAGGCTCCTCTGTCTGAACAGGAAATGTGTCAAGTTTTCACTGCCTTTTCCCCTCCCTATTGTGCAAAAGAAAAAACTCACGTCTGTCTCAGCCCCCTCCCCCCCACCTCATCAGATAGAGGATGGGCGAGTAGCTTCCCACACAAGCAGACAAGTGCCAGAGCATGAGCACAGCCTGCCGCCTGCCTGCACTTCACCCCAGTGCTTGTGCCCCACGCCCCTAGGCCAAGACTGTGTGCAGAGGACGGTACCCAACTGCTGGCTCCGGTACTGGAGCACAGTACTCAAAACAAGGTTCTGGTCACCCTCAGGAATTTCTTCACCTCCAGCAGCACCATTAACCTCCAAGGGCCACAGAGCAGCTGTGCTGCTGGAGGGGCCATCTGCTGTTGACATTACAGATAAGGACACTTGTCTGGTAGCACAAACAGGACAGGTGCTGTCCATATCACTACACAGGGACGAACAGGTATGAATCAGCCTTCTCTTTTAAGGGAGTAAACTATTAGCACTCTGTGTCTAAGTTTATTCATATTGCCTCAGAAGCAGTGTTTCTATTTTCCAATGGTTTGTATTTTATTTTCTGAAGACAGATCCTTGCCTGTTTTTGAAGAGGGCACTTATTGCCTATTGTTTTCACTTTGCTTTCCCTAACATATGCTTTTGCAATTGATTAGCTTCACATTTTCACAGAGGTTTCAAAGCTTCAGAATACTAAACTTTTAAAGGAAGATACCGTATTACATATTTAACCAAGACATTATTCCTTCTTGCGCTTTGTATTCTAAAGATTTTCTGAACACCCAGTGGGATTAGAAACTACAGTTTACCTGCCGCCTCTAAAACAAAAAAGAGTTGGCATTTGGTTTTCCATCAAGTAGTTAGTGATCTGTTCTTGATGCAAGGTTAAAAAAAATTAACAGCTTAGGTACAGAACTCCTTTGAGGCGTTTTACCCCAAAACATTAAATACAACCGTGGGAACATTTCACAGTTGAGTTAAACTCCATGCTATTGAAGCACAACAAATTGTATGCCTCTCCAATCAGAATCATTTGTTGAAGGATGGAGTAGAACATACTCCTTCAAATTCACTCCACTTCAGTGAGCCCGACCTTGAACTTGGTGAGGCAACGAGGCCCTGTATATCTTACTCCACAATGGAAACTAGCAGCAAAAGACTTCTGAGGTCTGAGTTCTCATTGAAGTCCAAACATTAGCTTTTGCGAAGCTCTATCACAAGATATTAACTAATTACTAATTTATAAATGCTTCAGGCCACAGTTTGCCCTGCTCCTTGAAAGCCATTTGGATCAATAATTAAGACAAATGTTTAAAATTTAAAATGCTGATGACCTAAAACATGGTCTTCTGCTATCCTAATCTCAGAGAAGATCTGAATCTTACACCTTTATATGCTATATTTACACATTTTCAAAGTCCTAATAGAGTGGTGTTATCCCTCTCACATTTGATTCTCTGACCAGGTCTGGAGTCATTTCTGCTTCTACCAAAAATAAAACTGACAGTTTTAGTGTTTTTTTTTTATATACAGGAGCATGGATTCTGAACAAGAATCCAAATTCTCCTAATTTCTCCATTAGAAGCTGGGCGGATGCGGAGAGAGGTGACAGACATGCAGATGGAATGAATGTTTGTCACCTACGTCAGCCCTGGCTCACAATCTTGGAAAGTACGGAGCGAATCCAGACATTTCCCATCCTATAGACTTTCTAAGACCTTAGCCTACAGCTCTAGAAGCTTTACAAAACTTTGCACTAACCCCTACCACTGAACGCATTTATTGTAATCTCTAGACCATGACAGGATAAACTCTTTGCCTCTCTTGCCTGTTTACAAAACAAGCCATTTTCTTCAGGCAGCCCAATTGAGGGCTCTCAGATTTTGAAGATTAACAGAGACCACCAAGCTGGAAGGTTGTTATCCAATATTAGCCATGTACTTTTACTAGCAAGAATTAGTTAAACGTGGGTAAAACAGGCAACTAAACAGGCTTGTAAAAAAAGGCTTGACAAATAATACTGAGTGATTAGAAGTGGACAATATTCATTGAACTAAAGACAGACCCTGGCATCAGCGTAGATCTAACACGACTTTCCCCAGATTGAGCCTATCCTAGGGTGAATTCTCAATTAACTCTCCTTTTCTACAGTTTTCAGCCTCTCACCACTTTCACATTTTAACCAATGGGGTGCACATGCACTAAACTGTGATGCCTATTTTGAGGGATCTAATGCAATTGCAGTATAAAGTATAGCAGAGAAATTGAATTAAGCCTTTAAATTAAATGCAAAAACTATCATCCACACAATGCAAGGAACCATGTACAGCAGGTCTGACTAAGCTCTAAGCAGGGTTAGCATCTGAAAATGACAAACAGGCATGCAAAAAGACCCATTTCCCTCTTCCCCTCACTTACCCATACTGTCGCTGGATTAGAGATGGGTGGATCTGCTGAACACCGATGGTAAAACCTAAGACAACAGGGCAAGAAAACAAGGGTCAGGAGAGCCCAGCGGTGAGCAAAGCCAAACAGGTCTCCACAGGGCACGCTGGTCTTGGTCCAAAAGCTCACAGTCAACTCAAGTTCCAGTTCTCTATGCTCCTGTGGTTTACAGTCCATCCATGGAACCAGCTCACAAATCACTGCTTTGATCATAGTGCCTGTAACCCGAGTGTCCCAGGAAACTATGAAATAATCTGGAACAAGGACAGCCAGAAACTTCACTTATGCCCCGCCAGATTCATACACACACAATGCTTTTAAACTACAGACCTCCGGGATGTTATATAACTTATGCTCATGACTAAACTGAGAAATGCAGGCAGATATGCTTTTATCTGACTAAAACTCCTAAACATAGAAGCTTTTCTAAGGGTTTTATCAACTGTTAACTGATGAACAACGAGACAAGAAACTGTAATAAAAGTGGTGGGGATTCCCCAGAACAGTCATGGACCTCACTTGCACAGTATTTATTTAGGCATGTTCAGGACCAGCATGGCTGGCTTGCCCATTGTTCTGTGTAACTATGGTGAAACATAAGCCAATATTTGATAAATTAGTAATCCAAGAAATCACTTGAATAACAATAAGTAAAGAAAAAAAACACAAAACTAAAATGAGTCAATATTTTTCCCCAAACTAGATTCTTGCAGCTCACACTTGATAGAAAAGGAGTTCTAGGGTTGTAGAGGCTTCAAGGTCTACTTGTTTTCATCACGGTAAGCTCTTATCTGAGTAAGTGACCCAATTAAACTCTAAGGTGTTCCATCATGACCTGCCTATAACTCCTGCAGATCTCTAACCCCCTACAAAGCAGAGCTGCAGAACTGAAGCGAATTGCAAAAACTCCTCGAGCTGGTGTCACTACAGGACCTGACAGAGCATGTCAAATTTAACGACTGCAATTGCTGAATCTCACTGCCATTTCTGTCCTAAGAGGTGTCAAATTATACGACTAGGAACCGCAGGGGGTGACTACACGATTCCCTCGCGACTTTTCATCGCGGTTCCAAGTCTCGTATTGCGCCGCGAAAGTACCGTGAGGCCGCCTCATTTTGGCGACCAATCAACACGGAGCACCCCGTAATAAAGTAAACATGGAGGACAAGCAGGTAGTTGTTGCCTTCGCTGTAGTCTGTGCTTTCCTTTGTGACTAAGAAGAAAAAAAAAAGAGGATAGGCCGAAGAAGTTGGAGTACATCACATTTGTTTTGTCATGGTACTCCTGGTTGAGCGCTCATTGGCTCATCCTGACTGTCACAGACAGGAGAGCCCGCCCCTACGACTTGCGACTCGCCATGAGGAAAGCAAACCAGTTTGCTTCTTGTACCAAGTCGCAGAGAGGCATAGGGGCTGTTAAGAGCGCTATGACCGAGTCGCTGGGGGTGTCACACTACACAACTGATGGTAAGGGGCACACACTGCGACTCTCTACAACTTGCTGCGATTTTCTCACCATTATGTAAATGAAGGCTATGACTGAACACTAGGGAAAGTCATGTAATGTGACAAATGAATTAAATATACCTCAGGTGTTTGCTGACTTTTCACGGTGCTGCACAAAGCAGCTGGAAAGTTAAACATGTAACCTAAATGTGACCAGATTTAACTGCCTCATTTGCTCAGTTGCAGCAATCCATTTATAAAGAAGTTACTTTTTGTACCAATCCTAATGAGATGTCCAGTACTGGTCACGGAGAGCCCTGCTCCTGCGGGTTTTATAGGCTGCCTTAAATTAGCAGAGGTTTAACACAAAGCATTGAGAGAATGAGAATGATTGATCCAATTAAGTCACCCAGGCAAGCGTTGGACTGAAAACCTTGAGACTAATGAAGACACCCCTGCCACAGGGCAAAAAGGTTAACCACTGGGCTTACCCAGCAGGTAAAGGATGATCATTATTAACCCAAGAAGGATCTCTAATGCTTTTTCCCCCCACTTGCCTTACTTTAAATAAGATCACTTTACTGGCCATATAAAATTTCTTGTATTAGGAATTTGTCTTTTCACATACACCAACTTGCTCTCCACGAGACGCACAGCGAGAGAAGCTTGGAGTCGGAGCGCAGGATCAGCCATTTATACAGCACCCCTGGAGCAGCTCGGGGGCCCAGCGGAGTAGGATTCCTCTGCCAGGCCGCGGGATACAAACCTGCAACCTTCCAGCTACAAATCCTTAGCCACAGAGCCACCGCACGAGTGCATCAAGAGATCCTACCTCACACACTGAACGCCGAGTGCAAGTCCTGGCCATTCCTCTGGCCTACTCACCTGCCTGCAGGCTGCGAGGCTTGGCCCCCAGGTAGGCCAGGTTGACATTAGCCTTTCGGCCATCGATGATGGGGTTGGGGTCTTTGCAGGCTCGCTCGGCGGCTCCCCGCTCCGTCATTGTCACCTAGCAGAGACGACAAAAGCACACACTTCTCAGAATACACACTCCCACACAGCTCACAAGCCCCGTTTAATATCATGCTCTGCATGAGGGCCACAAGCATCGATACCAAGCCCAAAGGACCCTGAAGGGGCTTTAAAAAAAAATACAGGTGCTTTCAAAATAAAACGTTAGTTGGGCGTTTTCCATCTCAACGGTGTGTAACCAGTGAACAAGACCAATGAAGAGACCTGTTTCAACTGCACAGAACTTGTGTTTGTTGCTGGGGCAGAAGTAGCTCTGCGTCTCGGCAAGTAAGTTTCTTCACGTAATTTATTCTCCGGTCGAGTAGGAATACTATAAGAGCTACAGGACCCACATATCTGCAACTCATGGGATACAATGACAGTGTGTCACTAAACTACAAACTCGCAAATAACCAGTAAAACCAGTCATTCGTGATTAAGGCTTAAACCGTTAATGAAGGGATTCCCGGGTTCTTGTTTTTGTTTATTAAACAAAAACAGCTCCTCTGTTAGGAGCTGCAGGAAATTCTCTGACAAACATACACAGCTGCAAACGGGTCAAAATCCTGCCTGAATGTCAGAACTACACCTGACAAAGGGTACAAGAAACTAAAAGGTGCCACTTCATGAGGGAGGAAGTTGCGAACGTGCAACATTAACATGTAGCACCCCCTTCCAAACTTCCTGTCTGCACAACTAGTATGATGGTTTCAAGGCATCACATTTGTAGGTGGCCATCTGAGGGGGGAGGTGGAGTTCATTCTTTGGGTGGGAGGGGTTGTATTAAAGGATGTGGAACTCCACCCAAAAAGAGCTTCATATGAGTCTGGTCTGTAAAAAACAAGCAGCAGTGTGTAGTTGTTGGAGGTCTGGATTCCAGATCAGAGGGTCTTGCGGTTCACCTCTTTGGCTGTAACCATAAGCACTCAAAAAGTTCACCAGTAACTTGCTCTGGGTCCCCAGGTTAATTCGCCACCGACTCATCAGGTAAACCAATGAATAAGGTTCAAAACCATGGCACAAACTGTGAAAAACTGGAATTGGAGAGTCCATAAATAAGTCATCCTCCAACTACTGAGGTGTGTGGACATGTAGGGCACATTGTGACTTGTACTGCCCATTTAAAAAAAATCCCTACCAAGGCCTGAACTCGTTATAATTGAAGCTCTGTTCGGATAAAAACTCCTCAAGGTCAAAGTGTGGAAAAGTAGTGTAAAAGAAATCCCAGAGAGATGCAGTCATACTGGTTGTTCAGGCTTTCGAAGTTGTACCTGCCATTTGAACAGTGGAAGTGACTCACGCTTACAAACTTGAAAAGATAAGGACAGGTTTACACACAGCCAGAGTGGTACACTCAGTACGGCACAGAAAAGGGAAGTCAAGTCAACAAGTTTCATGCCAAGCGCAAAAAAAAACGTAACGTAAAAATATGATGTCCTTCAACGCAAGAGCAGGTGAAGTTTAAATCTCGTTCTGTCAATACGCACACATTTGCCAAATGGACTGGCAACACATGACGTAACCGCTTAAAACCCCTTGCCCAGATAAAAATCACAATTCATCCCTAGCTTTAGTAATAGCTTTTGATGTCGCTAATTTAAGAGATGCAATATATTGAAACGTTTTAAAAACTAGCCTTTACGTAATATTAACGCAACCCAATCACATTTGCCGTGAAGTGGGTGGCTATTAAAATCAACAGGGGGAAATTCATCACAACGCCATGGGGAACAATGAGTGCTGGAAGTGAGCCCTGAAATAAAACCGACTTGCATTCCTTCAAGACGAATCTCGCGAAAAACCAAGAAGCCTTCGGTGAGACTGCACTGCAAGGACGAGGATGTTATGCGCACATTTCTTGAACTTGTCGCCAACAAAGAGGTCCACGCACACATAGCAACGCGACGTGGGCACACAAACACGCCGCCCGGAATGCGAGCTCAAGACCTGTGCCGTTAGAACAATAACTTGGCGTTCCGGAAGGAAGCGATCGGCGAGTTCACCTTGAAAAGCGGGGGATGTTTTTTTTTTTAATCAACTTTCGGAAATCCAAGCCGAAACCTTATTTACCATGCCGTGTTCCTCCGCATTCTCCCCAACTTTTGGTGCCACAGCCAGCGAAAACCAGCTCTGGACTGGCGCTGGCGAACAGCTCGCCCTTGTCGCCGCTCCTCGCCCGGGCTGTGGGACCGCACAGCGAACTTTGTTCCGCTCCAGTTCAGACCGCGAACTGCATTTCATTTCCCTCCCCACTCACAAATAATAAAACACTTTCTCCGGGCGCTTTTGTTGTTGTTGTTTTTTTGCGGAACCCTTCTGCCCGTTGTAACCCCAGGCACTTCGGTTTCGCGTCTGGATAACGCGGTGTTTAGCTATTCAGGAACGGGATGCGCGTTTCAGTACTCGATTTCACGGAGAACAAACACTTCATCACGGGCATCGTCTTTGACACGTCTTTTTACACAATAGTTTCCTGTCCCATGGCTTCTAAACAAACGCCAAGCGTATTTTCAGTGGGATCCCTCATACACCGTCACGTCCTTGTACACACAGTATGTAGCCGAGAGCAATGTGCCCCCACGCCAAAAGCGTGTTGACAAATCATGAGCAAGCAAAATTGAAGTTATTGCCACCCTCCACCATTCGAATGGCAGAAGTCACAAACGGATACAAGCCCATCTTGCAACATAAACCAGAACGCAATCAACCGATGGATGAGCATTACGCAGTAAAAACATTATTAGTACTGATATTGCCCAGCGGTCAACAGCCTAGCTAAAGCGCCTAAATGAAAGCGAAATAAAAACGCGTTTTGCAATACTTACAAAGCCGTAACCCCGCGATTTCCCCGTCTGCCTGTCCGTTATGACCACAGCTTCTTCAATGTCCCCAAACACCTCGAAGTATTTTCTCAGAGACGCGTCGTTGGTGTGATACGGTAAGCCGCCCACGAAGATCTTTGTAAAAGTAGTGTCCTTTTGAATTGTTGGATGCATAGCTTCCAGAGACCCGTTCACGAACTGGTGCAAAAGCATTAAATAAATATGAAGATATTAACAACACTTAGGACGATGATTCCTAGTAGCACAAGAAATGCAACACATATAAGCAACGGGGGTTGCACTTTAAAACATTAAAAAATAAGAGGAAGAATCCAGAGGTAGAGTAGAATATTTTTAGACTCCGTGTCCGGTCTGTGTCTCCCCTGTATAGGTTTTTATTCCGTGTATATTTTTATCTTTCTATGAGAGGGTAAGACGCTGCCGCCTTAATGTAAGTTTACACTTCGCAGGTGGCTTCCTTCATTTACCACTTGACAAACCTCCCGGAAAGGCTTTTATATGGGCCTGTGGTGACCCCGCCCACGGACCTTCTGATCCAATCACAGGGCAGAGTATTTGGTCTCTCCCGCCCCTTCACACCGCGTACCTCCGCCGTGGATGGCTTGTGACGTCACTCCAGCCCGGATCATGCCCCACCCCCCACGCTTTCGGCTTGCACCTGCTTTTGTCTTGAACACAAAGAAAGTCTGAGCAGAGCAGTGCAGTGCAGCGCCAGCGGGCATGGTGCTCTTGAAACACTTTCATTTACCAGCACCCAGATTAAAAGCAATTCAGATTAAAGTCCAAGTCATCACCCCCCAGTTATGCACTTATTATTTTTTAAATATCTACAATTTATTTACGTGTTCACACACCCTTGGCGGTGTGTATTTGATTTAATGTCAAGGCATTGCTTTCATGTTTCAAAGAATGTTTAAAGTTCAGAGTGTTTAAAGAATGATTTGTTGTAAATTACAAGGTACACACGCTGACAAAAGGGTTATTTGTGCTACGAGCAGCGGGCCTGTGGGGGAAAAAAAACCATTGGCTTGGTTTCGACTTTCAGTTTAAACAAGAGGCAGCTGCTGAGCACACGCCGCTTTTCGCGCCCGTCGCCTAGGCTTGGGAGTACAGTATTTGCTCAGCAAATACTCTGCATTTAAAACCCACGCTGACCCGGCTCATATCCGCGAAACGCCAGAAGAAAAATGACAGATACGGTTTTACAGAGCAAACAACAAAAAACCGCCCCAGAAAGCCGCCTTTAAATTTTGAATGAATCAGAACTGTACATTTACCACATACAACAGCACCTGAAAACCGGTAGTATCGGCGTTATCCACCGTTTCTATTTACTTATTTTACAGTCGAGCTGTGTTGTATCAATGGTCGTTTTAGTAGTTAGAAAATTGACCGTCCTCTTTATTACTGTTTACCGAGTCTCAAACACATGTGCATGACAACAGCAACGACCGTTAATTACAATACTGACACCTAGCGGATGCAAACCCGCGGCCTCCGTTTCCCAGCTGCTGGTGTTCATCACCCGTGGCCCCTCGAGATACCCCAGATATTATGTGACGACAACTGTGTAGGCCATGATGCAGATTACCCATACGGAATGAAGACGGTTCCCTGCTGTTCCTGGAACTAGAGCTCCGCTTTCCTTTTCTCACTGAAGTGCCTCTAGAAAAGAAAATACCCGTACACACTTAGTCCTTGCTCTGTTCTGAACATGTAAACCTCGTACTAACTAAAACAAACCTGAATGACTCATGTTCAGGACTAATATGAATCCCTGCCCCAGGACATAAAATGTGACTCCAGTTATGTCCGTTTTATTGTAAACAGGTACATTTGTAGCTCCTCATCTCCACCTTTTTTTTGGCCAGATGCTTTATACTGGCTGCAAGAATTGGTGCTGCTAATTAATGGCCTAATTGGGGGTGACCTGCGATGCACTGGTGAGCCCCCTTGTGCCCCGTGTGCTCCTGAGACAGGCTCCAGGTTGCCGTGACCAGATGCCATATCTTTGCTGACTGCCCTATCTTTCTTACACCCGAAGAAGGCTCCACAGCTGAAACGTGGTGTGTTTTCTTCTCTTTTCAGCGTGGAATAAACTTATTAGTTCTTCCTTCGTGACCAGATATGAGCAGCTTTCTGGTAAAGAACACAGAGATGGATGGATTCCTGCAGCTGAAATATTAATGGGTACGTGCCAGGGGCAGTGAGGAAGTGTGCCTACAGCATTTGTTCTTAACCAATGTCCCATGTGCCCTGGAGCAGTGGAGAATACACTGGAGAAAACAGGGGGGGGCAGCAGGAGACAGTGTCTGGAGGCTTCAGGTCTGTCTGATTCTTTGAAAAATACGAATATCAACAGGCACTGGAAGCATCCATCAATCTCATACTTCACACTGACAAGGGCAGAAGCCAATAAGAGCAACTGATCATTTTTAATTTGTTTCAGTTTAGTGGCAGCATAGGTGCCCTTATTTTGGCAGCATAACTATCTTACAAATAACAACTGCATTGTTTATAATGATCTAAAAGTAATCCATTTTGAGATTTTGCTTTGTTTTTTTAAGAAAAAAGGGCAGCGAAGCTGAAGTTCATGGTTTATTTATTTTTTCATCCTCAGCTCTGCACAGTGTTTTGCTGTATTGAGGATTTAAACTTTTGTTCAGCTTTACCATAAAGGTGAGTCTAATTTCTCCATACAGTTTCTAAGGGGAACAAATGATCTATCAGAAAAAAAGCAGTTTGTCATCTGAAGTAACCATGGAAGTAATATGGTAGGGGATTTGAAAAATCTTGTCAAATCTTTCAGCAGGGAACATATTTCTGTTTTCTCCACATGAAAGAAACTGCCAAAGAATTAGGCCTTGAAGCTGTGTTTATGTAAAGTACCCATTTCTCACCAACTGAGAAGAGTCACAGGGAAGTAGTTTAACAATAGGCTCAATAAACTAGATGCTTCTCACCTTGAAACATTTTTATTTTCTGTGAGAGCCTCTGGAGTTTCACACGTGCCAGCGTTTACCTCCTCATTGTCACATCGCTGTCAGGAACCTGATTCCCTCTCACCGTCTCCCTCACAAATTTACCTGAGCATCATTGCTTTGATCCTGTGTTTCTTAACCCACCCAAACATGCTTTCATTTTTATAACTCTCCATTTTAAACCTTTAAAATATTCCCCTAAATAATACTTCCATATCTTTTAAACTAACCAAGATAAGAGGACACTGTTTTGGATGGGATAGCATTGTCCAATAAGTGATTATTGTCATTCAGAAATAATAAAAAAGTAAAAATGTTTATTTAGACTTTATAGAACAAGAAAATGGACACATTTGCCAATTTAGCAAGCAGTTAGCATACTCCTTGCCTCTAATGACAACAAAATGCTCTCAGGTTAGATTACTTGCTTCCATTACTTATCAGTTATAATAACTGAATTGGCTATACTGTAAAGATAAATTCCTTGATTTGTCCAATCTAAAACGCACTGAAATCTATTGAGTTTAAATGAGTGCTGTATCTAAAAAGCACATGGAATCACAAAGTAAAAAAGCCAACGATCCATAAAATGTATTCTTTTTTTAAAAAGTCAGTTAGGCAAGAAAAATATCGGATGCACTAACTCTATTACATTAAACTACAACACCACTCATTCCTTTGTATCCATATGAAAATCCAACATCTGTATCCTAAGGAGTTACTGTACCATTGGTCATACTTCACTCAGCATTCAGAGATACACAGCAATCTAGGGAACATTAGCCTTTAGTTCCAAATGCTAACTATTTAGATTGAAAACATCTAGACCTATAAATGCAATGACAGAATCAGCAATACAAACTGGGTCTGACGTGCCAAGTGGTCATTCAAGTGAATACCAATTTGGTAAGTAAACTGCAAGGCTGCTGTATAATGTCTGTCTTATCTATTGCCTCAATTGTTTTGTTAAAAAAAAGTACACCTTAAGATGTGCTAATCTTTTTCACCTTTGTTTTTGATTCTTCACTTCATCCAGTCAGACCTTGATGGTTTTCAGGATTGTCCTCACAGACGTTTGTAATGATCTTCACGGTTATTTTTGCATCATAATCATAAAGAGCTAAATTAGGTAAAGCACAGAATTTGCAAATTAAAAAGAAAACAAATGCAACAATTCTGACCAATCAAATCAGAACTGTAATTTCTATGCACACACGTTTATGACACCTTAAACACAGTGATTGTGCGAAGGTGAGATTGTGTGGTTTGAAAGATTCAAATGTGCCCCATTAAACCTAACTGTATTTACACTTCAAGATCAAATGAATTCTCTATATAGCCATGCTTACATTGATAATTGTCACAAAACATACAAATACATTTGTTTATTCACTGCAATAATTACTAACCAGATCTCTGCCGACCATTAAAAGGATAAAGAATGAAAGGCATCAAAAATCCCCTGTGGAAAATGTAAACATTTGTGAAAAGAGAAACAAGGCACGCCCCCTGGTGGAAAGCTAACACAAGGAAAAAACAAAGAGTATTGTTAAGGCACAAAAAAGACTACTGAAAGCTTAAAACCTAAAAACAAACACTGAATATGATCTCTGCTGCAAACAGGCATGCTGGATGTCCCTTTATTATTGATCTTTAAATATTTCTAAAGTGTTTCATTATTTATACCTGAACACTATGAATATGAACACATAGCAGAATCATTTGCAGACCACAAAGCATCACTGTATCAAGACAAAGTGACGATTTGAAAAATGAAAACGTCTTGGTTGCTCATCATAAACCCATGGTACCATCTGGACAGAATATAGTGTATTTGAACTTCACTCATGTCCAATTAAAAGTTAAATCAAACTCATTGCATATAAGTTCAGGTGGGTAGCTGCGTCAGCATGCGTAGGCTGCAAAGGAACAAGTAATAGGTTTATTCCATGCTGAAAAAAAGAAGAAAGAGAACACAACGTTTCGGCCGTGGAGCCTTCTTCAGGTGTGAGCACCTGAAGCACCTGAAGAAGGTGTGAGCCTTCTTCAGCTCACACCTGAAGAAGGCTCCACGGCCGAAACGTTGTGTTCTCTTTCAGCATGGAATAAACCTATTACTTGTTTCATTGCATATAATGCTCTTTAAAAATAAAACATGCAAGATAAAACTTTTATGTGCTTGCCTAACAAAATTTGAAGGTCGGGATCCCAATGGAATGTGAAATGAGGGATTGCAAAGAAAAAACAGGCTACTGCTGTGGTGTTGGTAGACCAGTAGGTGGAACTGTTCCCCGTGAGCCAGAAAATCCAAATCAATGCCCTGGAATGGTGACAAGTGACTGCTGTAGAAGCTGCTTTCCTTCAGCTGAGATGTTAAACCAGGAACGAGTACTTGGACATGAGAGTTGTTTTGCCAGTACTGAGAAGAGTAGATTTTAAACTCAGCGCCCAGGCTAAACTTCACTGTTGACTTGCATGATGTAGCCACCCTCCCTTCCTTACCCCTTTTGATTCAATACTCCAAAATCTAGTGCAGCTGCTGCTTGACATGCATGTGTTTGGTTGCACTAGAGGTTGAAATGGGGTTCCCCTCCTACTGTGTGTATGTGAAGGGCTTTCGAATTAAAAGCATGATACAAATCAAAGCAATCCCTAGTATTATATTCTAGCAATTACTCATATATTTATGCATGATAGATGAGCTGGGTTTTTATAACATTAAACCTACTTAACTTGAAAGGTTTAAGTGCAAATTTATCGACTTCCTATTGACAACACGTAAGTAGATGGACTGGGCATCTTCTCCTCCTCAAAAAGATTTGAGTTGCTTAAGACATTGTTGGCTGTCTCTTCTCTTACAATAAACTGAGGACAGTATAATGGAGTATTTGGTTGCTCTGATCATGAAGGTTTCAAAATGGTTCTGTGCAAGAAAGATGGACAGAGTAAGGGTGTTTCTTCATGCCCCGTTCAGACTCCATATGGAGATTCTCCCCATTAAAAAAATGGACACCGTATTGGAAAAATAGTGAAGTGTAGAACATCATTTTATTTTTTTTATAGATCTGCACCTTAAACATGACTAAATCACAAATGAACAGCAAAACTGGAATCCAAAGTGAATTAAGATAACTTGCAGACAAAAACAAATCCCCCTGCTCTCCTGGTCCTCATGTGACCAAAGTAGTCACGCCCATGGCTTCAATGTGAGCAGAAGAGTTCTGCCAATTGGTCCGTTTATACACAATGCCCCACCCCTGGTCCAGGTGTAAGCCAATAGAGGTTTTCTTCTATATACATATTAAGGCAGGTCTTCCGTTTTCCAACCCTCTGGTGTTGCAGAATAGAAGTGACATAGCTGAAGAATCTGAAGACAGGAGGGGGAGCAAGGAGTCATTAGAGTATCCTGGTTTTTACAACAGATTTTATTTTGTATAATCATAAGCAGGGAGGGAACATTCACACATCCGAAATCTATTTCTAAGGGTGTTAATATGATAAAACCTGTTCAAGCTATAAACATGATCACGGATACATCATTTTAAGTTTGATCTCAAGTTAAGAATTCTTGGGCAGAACCAGAGCTAAAGCTCATCAACTGGTGTTGATAGATATATGTTTCTTACTTTCTGTAAGTAAGAATTTCACTGTACCAGTACATGTACCGGTTACATATGGCAATAAAGTTCAAGTTCAGGTGAGAATGACAGATTCTTATTTGACAAATGACTTATGTCCCCTTTTCAAGAAATGTACTCCCTTGAGGTACACATCTATAAAAATGAACCCTTTTCACAGAGTTCTTCAGCAAAAACAGCAATTGAGGCAAAGTCTCAGTAGGTAGCTTTCACTATTTGTTGCAACACAGAATAAGCACAGAATGACTGTGCACCGCCTTGCACATTCCTATGTACAAACGGTGCTCTGTAGCATTTCATTTTGCCACTAAGTTTCTACAACAACAAAGGGCCTCCCTGGGAGAAAAACCCCGTTCCTCTCTATCGGGCCCGCAGGGCGGCATCACAGGGCCGTGAAAGAAACAGAGGGGGAAGGGCAGCCGACACCACGACCCTCACGGCTCCAGCCTATTCTCACCATTTCTTGTTCCGGGGTTTCAGCTCCTCAGCCGCATTGCGCAGGAAGATGTAGTTCTTCTTCTGAGAATTGTAGTACTCGTGCCCCTGGGGAATATATCAAATTCATTCTCCGTCAGCACGGGCACAATGCGCCTGCTTCCTCCCATCTGTGCTTGTAATTGTTTTTTTTTTTTTTTTTTTCTGGGACTATCGCCACACTGTTTTCCACAAATCTCTCATGTGTATTGTGCATTTTGTTATGTGTCCTCTATATTTTATTTGGGCACGTGTTATGTGTGTTTTCTGTTGTGAAAAAGAGGAGAGAGAACACGTTTTTCCTGTGGAGGGGTCTCCAGGGGCGACGTTTTGTTTTCTCTCTTTTTTTCAGCATGGAATAAACCTATTACTTGTTCCTTTGCAGCCTACGCATGCTGACGCAGCTACCCACCTGAACTACTAAGTATTACATACATTTTAGAAAATATCTTTAGCCCTGTCTACAATGGAAACCAATTACTTGAATTCCTTTAAAAGACTTCAGTCTTCTTTGAATTGTTTTTAAACCATCAATGAGGTGGCCAGTACCTTGGCATGAAAAAAAGACTTGAGTTTGTACTTGAGGGACTTCTCGATTTTGCACCTTCAGGACTTGTTTCTACACTTCTGAATGGCCCTCTAGGGGTCCTTGCCCTGCAGGCCCTGCCATTACCTTAGACCAGTCATAGCTGGAGGCATAAGCGAAGATGTTGCCGTTGCTGTTGAAGCAGCAGGCCGTGATGGGCTGGTCCAGCTGCTCCGAGGTCTTCAGCTTGGTCCGGGCGTCCTTGTCCCAGAAACTGAAGCGCCCATCAGACCCAACTGTAGCCAAAGTCCCATGCACAGGGTGGAAGGAGATCGCGTTAACCTGTTGAAGAAAAATGCCTCTATAGAAAAACAGGCCAGAACTATTTTATGGATAAAGACACCTTGTTTGTTTTTGTGGTGTAATCTGTTGCCACAGGGAGTGGGAAAATGTAGACAACGTTAAATTTATCATATATCTTAAGCTGTTTCCTCGACCCCTCTTTGTCCTTGCACTCACAGAGAACATCATTGGCTTTTATTTTTAAAATATATTATTGCTTATTTTCAAGCTCTTTGCATTGTAAAATGCCCTTTGGGAGATATTTCCCATTTTCTTAACATCCACATATAAATGGATATAAGTAAAGGAAGGGTCAATTCTTTTTAGAACGATTTACTGACTACAATTTTCAAATTAAAATGTGATAACTATAACGGGGTAAGTGCAGTATTTTCCAATGCAAGATAAACACCATCCACTGAAATCTAGTTCTCCTCTCCTGAAAAACCCATTACCACAAAGCTTTGATATAATCTGTCACTTTTGTCTGAAACGTCACTCTGCACTGAAATACGGTTAAATATTCTCTTGCTCTTGGGAAAGCTCAGACATACTTACAGCATAAATATCTTGTGGTGTAGAAGTGTTAGTTCCATTGGACCTGTGACACTTGAAGGTAAAGTTGTCCTTGGCTCTACAACACAGGAAAATCTTACATCCTTTCAGATCTTAAACACCCAACCACTAGTTTCACATTACTACTGAATGTCAAGTGTAGCGACTTGAAACACTACATAAAGTCAGGTGTGCTACATTAAGCCTACTGTATATGAACAATATAAAGCATAAGATTGACAGTTTCAGTCTTTTCCTTTATCTTCACAAAAGTGCTTTAACAAGAAACTGAAAGCAAATCCAATGCAGACGTTTAAGCAATGTATAGGTATGTTCAATAGTAATATTTAAGATAAGCAAAATACTAACACCTTCATGTACTGAAGACGGACTAATGAAGGTAATTAAAGTCCCACCTCCACCTAATGGAAGCAAAGCCAGTTTCAAACAAGAAAATGTAACCAGACTCTTAACCTCCCTTTAGATTAAGAAAATATCGAAGACCAATGCGATACAGACTATCCTTAAACTGAACAACAAACTGCAGAGATTTCTTAACTTTAATTTATGTCCATCCATATCTATAGGCTATTATTTTATATGCAGTGCACTGCCTGTCATATGCAAGAAAAAAAATGTAAACAAAAAAAAAAACAGGCCATTTGCATTTAAGAACATTGTTGCCACACTGGTTCCAGCTAAACCGAGTGGGATACCTACGGGTTTGGGGGGTTGATGTAGTGAATGGCCACTCTCCCCTCGATACTCCCTAAGGCAAATCCAGTGGGCTTATTCTGTTTGTCCTTAAAAATGGCAACACAGCGATGCTGGGGAAGAACAGCAAAGGACAAGTCATGATTCACCAGGGCCTCAGGGAATGAGCAGTGTTCCAGGGTATTAATCCTCTTTAATTAAGAAAGCAATGTAAATCAACCAAGGAGAAGTGCCAAATTGCTGGTGTGCTTCTACAGCGATCAATTGGAATGGGCTGAGGAGCTGAGATAATGCAGTTACTCAGCTATAATCACCAGGAGAATAACTTCTTTTCATGGTTATCAAGGAAAACAATTATTTAACCAAGGTGAAATAGTTTTTATGACAAAAAATGGGAAATTATTTTCACGATTAATAACTTAACTGCTGCTTGACACCTATAAACAGTTTAAAAAGCCAAGACACGCCTTTGCAGTTTTGCTTTCCAAAGAGAAAGCAGGTTACCTGGTGCTTCAGCGGAGATTCTATCCTGCGGAATTCCGAGGGCTGGTTCTCTAGCTGGTAGACAATCAGTCCTCGCTCGGCTGTGGCTACCACTGCCATCGGATAAATCTGCATGGGACAAAACGGAATCTCCTAAAACCCCTATCACCCCAGCTCGAACATCAGCTTTCATTAAGCTTGAGTAGTTGTAACAGGACTGTCAATATTCCCCAAATAACTAGCCCCAGCTAATTTTTCTAATTTTTAAATTTCCATGATACCATACTCTGGTACTTAAGAATTGTAATCATTATTATGTTTATGCTGTACACAATCTATGATATGCCTATAGACAAATAGGCCATTTTAATAGTGTTGGGTAAATGCTGTGAGCATCCGCAGGAACATATGTAATGCAGTCGACTCAAAGGTTTATTTTGAAGGTCCTCACCACATCAGCACAGTAGCATCTCTCTGGCAGCTGCAGAGACATCACTGGGTTTGGAGAGCGGGTGTCCCAGAACTGACAGAGGGAATGGTAACACTATAATCTTTAGAAACAATCAATACACAAGACTGCACAGGTATGTTCAAATGAAGTCATTATTTTAAAAAAACAAAACAATATTGAGGTTGCTAGTGATAACAAAAAGTATTGTATTTTATAATTACATTCAATCTGCAGAAGTCATAAAGGAACAATTGTAATTATCTAGTTATATACAATACATGCATGGTGACTAAGTCTTACAATACATAGAGGAGGAACAATTAACAGCAGAGCACAAAGTTAAAGATGGTATCATAACTTAATTTTCCAACCACTGAATTACACTGTTATACTCTATACGAGATGAAAATGATTATTAAGTACATGTTAAAAACAAATCAACTTTTGCTACTAATGTTGTTACCTTTAAAGTCTTGTCCCAGCTTCCGGTCATGACACAGTTGTAGTTAGAAGCTTTTATCCAGTGGACAGTTCTGATTGGGGCATCGTGCTGAAATACATAGTCATGTAGCAAGTCTCACAGATAAGAAACTTTGGCTAAAAGTTAAAGATTAAGCAAACCTGAACAATGCTTAACAATTATTTCAGTGTTTTTATAACAAAATCAGAATTTGTGATGCAGAATTTTTTCAGCAAACTATTTCCTTTAATGATAAGAAACATTTATGAAAGTTTATTTTTGCGCACACAACATTTTTAAAAAGGTGAGTATCTATATTCTAAATGTACCATTTATACATGTTTATATTTATGAGCCTCAAACAGTACATCAAAAAATGAATCAGTACTTACCTGGGCTATTTGCATTGCCTGGTTGCTATTAAGATCCCACATTTTTGCAGTTTTGTCACATGAAGCAGTGAAAACTTTGCTCCCATCCTAAAACACACAAAGCCATATAAACGTCTGAGGGCAAAAGACTTCAGTGTGCTACCAACCGAGATGGATCTAGAGCTGCTCATGCCTGTAATGACCCAATAAAGTTGTGCTCTCTAAAATACTAAAAATATCAGTGTTTGGGATACAAGCTCTTTCACAAGGATGAGAGAAAAACACAAAAAAGTGCAATGACTTAGTGAAGCCCCTTTGTGCAGTTACCTGGCCCCTGAAAGTTTAAAGATAGACATCTGATTGGGATTTTCAAATTGCTCTACAAAATTAAAATAAGCTACGCACCAAAGCATCTCTAACAGAAACCCAGAAAATGCATTAAGACGTACATCACTCCAGCAGATGTCCAGCACTGGGCCTGTGTGCGTCTGCTGTGCCTTTGGGACAGTCTGTCCATTATCCTGCACCTCCCAGCAGCGCACCTGTGCAACACAAGGTACGGGTCAGGGGCATAAAGGGTGACATTAAATCAGGTAAATGACTCCAAACCAAACAGAACCAGGTACAAATTTCAATCAAAGTGTCTCTCGCAAAAGAGGGAAACGAAATTCATTTCAATCACTGGATATCTAACGAGAAACTTTACATACTTCATAACACGGGGGTGGACAGTCCTTGTTGTGGTGGGTCAGTGTATCGGCAGGTGTGCATTCCGTGTCAGCTCTTAACGCCTTGCTAGCTGGTTACAGGATTAAACGGACCATTTTACAGCTTCTCCCAGCTCCCCAGGTGCTCTTGCTTTAAAGAGACCTTGAAAGCCTGCAGACGCCCGGCCCCTCCAAGCCCAGAACTGCCTTCATGTGGTCACTTAATTGCCCACCATTTCCCATTACTGGACTCCCAACACCACCTGTTACTCACATCATTGGCCCAGGATCCTCCAATCAGGAAGTTTCCCTGCATGGTAGGCGGGCTGAAGGCCAGGCAGCTGATGCTGTCATCAGGAGGAGACGTCACTTCAACATCCTGAAACCAATAGCATTTCAATTACTTCTAATAGTCTTTCAGCTGCTTTCAGTTTTTTTTAAAGCAAGGTGGGTCTTGCCTTTTAAAATTCGCGAAATGTAACGAATCTGGTATTGCGGTTCTGAAAGCAGAAACATGGTTTCACGCCAACAATGACCCTTCCTCCTCCATCCGCTCAGAACGAGAGGCATCTACTTCTAAGCACAAGGCTGCCGATTTTAACTCCAGCTCTTACCTTCATGGGGTTGTGGCTGTCGGTAGTGGCGCTGCCAAACACGCTGGTGCCCCCTGATCCGAAACTAGAACTTGTCCCGAACAGACTCATTGTAGTTCTAAACAGGAAAAGATTGAATCATTTCCACAAACAGGTCTTTGCTTATTACCTCTTGTACATTGGCACTGAACAAGCAAGCTACTACTTGTTCATCTGAAAACAGATACGCTTAAGCACTGGAAGAGGGACTTTCGAGAAATTGAACTGCATATCCGGTCAGCGGTCTTACAGTCATGCTCTTCAACCTAGGTCGAACGATTCCATTTCATTTTCGTCCTTATTTTTAAACGTTGTATACTATCACTTTACTTTCTGAAAATCAGCATAATGGCATCGTCAGTTTACTACCAACATAACCCTTTTATGTACTGAGCCATAAACACGAGGCATTTTATTTTAAACCATTACTCAAGCTACTATTCTCCATAACAAAGGTCTCAAACCGTAGAACGTCTTAAAGTTTGAGATACGTAATCGAGATTGTAAATACTTTGCAATCGTTCTTGCTTTCCTTAATATCAGAACACGCAGGCTACCTTCTCCATCCACTACTACACACTAGGAAGCTCCATCAAAAACGGATTTCCTATAAACCTCTTTAATTAACACAATAACTACTAGCTACAAGCTCTTTACCTGTTTCATTTAAAAAAATATATCGTATTTATCACAGCCCTAAAAAAGCAATTGTAAACCGACCTAGACTGGGGAATTCGCCGCCACTCCACTGCCTTTTACTGCTTCAGCGCACTGTAATTACGTCACCGGCCTACGGAAACGTAAGTGGGCCAAACTACACGTTATATTCATGCAGTGATTATATCATTCACATGACGCCTTACACCTTACATTCAGCTCAATCAATGGTCTTAATGTATTGATCTGAATTGAAACTAGTGGAACTAAAATGAGTTTTGTCTAATAGGTAATTATATTTGAACAGATATGACTGAGTATGGTAAAATATAATATTTTATCATATAGTGGACATAAACATTTTATTTGGTAAAACCAGAAGCTTTTCTGTTATTGTGAAACAGGTACACTAATGGTACGCGCTTTATTGTAAATATGCAAAGGAACAAGTAATAGGTTTATTCCATGTTGAAAAAAAGAAGAAAGATAACACAACGTTTCGGCCGTGGAGCCTTCTTCAGGTGTACCCACCTGAACTTATTGTAAATATATTCTGTAAACTTGCCGAATCCCTCGTTATTTTTTAAAGAAAAACATAAAGTCTTTCAAATAGTGGCATTCAATCACGAAACTACACCACTCTTGTGGTATATTGATTTACTCTCACATGACGCATTTCTGCATTTTTATAATAATGTTTTCTTGAACAATGACAGCGCACAGTTTGCGTTTGCATTTATTTCCATGTCAATAACATCAACAACATAAATTCCCGGAATGGGAACTGGCTAGTTACAAAATATCCATTCTACAATAAAACAAGTAAAACTATAGGGGCAGTTGCAACAAATATTTAAAATTAGTTACAAATACTGTTCTACACTGTGCTCGTTACCTTTCGACAATAGGAAGGAATTCATACTTGTTCCAGATTTTTGAGCTCTTCAAATCCACTGTCCTGTTCTCTTCTATTGACTTTTTATGGTGTAACAAACTGCTTTATCAGATCTAGAATATCAACTACCACACTTTCTGTCAGCTTTGACAGACTGTGCATTATACCCATGAATAGTATATTTCATGACTTGATATATTATGATATATTAAATGTCATTTGAATATTTGCATAGATACATTTCATTTATTGTTGACGCTATACTTCATCACATTCAGTTTTGTAATAAGATATCATGGAAATGGTTTGTTTGTATATTGTGATGACTGAAGAACATCTTAAATAGGTACTAAACCTGAGCATCATCTCATCCCCAGCTCCAAAGTTCAATAGAACTGGAATTTAACGAGTTCACACCCATGGATTATGCCTTTTTAGGAACCATTGAGGCTAGTTTGGACATACTCTCACAGCATATTAATGTTGAAAGTTTGCAGCAATTGAACTGTCTATAAAGGCATGAATAAAAAAAAACAGTATTTAAAACAACTGGTCACAAATTTCTGCTTCTTCTAATGTATCCAACAGAAAAACACTCCCTTGAAAGGGTTAAAACTACAATATATCTGGATGTTGACTGCAATGCTGAGCAAGTCCAGAGGGCGGCAGTTAGAGATCATATCCATCCTCCAAAGCGCAGTTTATTTGGCAGGTACACACGAGTAAGGTAATCTGGAGCAATTGATGTCAAACACTGGATTTCTGCTTTCTGCTGCCATTTCAGCATCAGTTCTATCTGCAAGAGAACAAGTTATATCCCATGATACATCAGAGTGGAATTCAGAAATTATACAAAAAGAAATCTAGTCAAATGTTATGTTCTTTATTCTCTCTGTCATTGCTTTACATGCTATATGCCAATATGAAGAATTTTTCAATCTGTTCCTCATTTCAACATTAAGTTTTTGTTTTCATTCCTTCTTATAACTTCTCATCTGCAGCCCATTATGTTGATTAGTACCAGGTACATTTCACTTGCCAGCGCTTCACTGTTAGAGATATCCAGACAGTGTTTAACCATTTCTACAGCCTTACCTCTTTTTTCCAAAGGGGTTGAGAGTTAAAGTAGGGTCGTTTCTGAAGACTTTGAAGTTTGCTATGATCCCGTTTTGTAAAAGGAATTAAAGCATCTTTGGGAACATTCAGTCTGCAACAGATATGGAAAGATATTTTATCCATCTTTTAGCAGTATTAGTCATGTTAATAACAGTAATAGTTAAGATGCTGTACAGCTGGGGAAAACATTAGGAGTTTTTTCTATTCCACAAATAAATTGTATCAAAATAATTCAAGGTAATGCCATAAATGTTAACATAGACCTAGATGACCTTTCAATATCAGATGGAAGGAGGCCCAGCCACATCACTGCAGGAACAGTCAGATTGTGCGCGTCGAATGACATGGACTAGTGAATAAAAGTCACACACACAAATGCACTATAATTAGAAAGCAATCAGTATTTCACTTTCGCTTAAAAAAGATGTAGCAAGAAAATATAATATACATTGCAGTGTGAAGTAGTTTTTTGAAGGATTAACAGTGACTATTAAATGCATTGAAATAAGCTTACCACTGATCCATATTTATAAATGCACATGATTTCAATACCTAGGAGAATCAAGATATTAAAGTCTGTATTATGAACTTTTTACTGTCTGTAAACTCTACCGAATACTTTCCATTAAATATATTAACATCTGTCCAGTATCAGGACATATCCATATATGTAACTATAACAATATAACTATATCTTGCTGTAAGCATTGTTCGGGTGACTGAAATTGTATATCTGTTAAACATAAACCAGACTTTGCCTGTGGACTCAATAGTTCCTAAAAAAATTCTAACCAGCAATTCTGCTTATAAGGTACTTTACAATAGCCTCATTCTATTTTCTATGGTGTAATAAATCAATACATACCATTAGCAACTACTAATTTAGAGAATTATTTTTTATCAGTTTTAAACACTTCTTGTTAGGTTGGTAACAAAAACAAGATAAACCAACTGTAACTTTATACAATATAATTATATATTTATATAACTTTCAAAACTTCTATAACATCAGTTCATGCTAGTAAATTGGTCAATTCTGTTTTGAAATATGTTGGAAACTGATTTCTTCCAATCTAGATTTTTGTTTCTTTGGAGGTACCGAAGAAGCCACAATTACACAAAGGAAGTGATAGAGTACCATGTGGATCTGCATCCACCAGTGCAAATATAGGAATGCACAGAGAATCCCACAGCCTCCTCACCATCAGCCTGCTATTTACATCCGGGACTCCTTTACCCTGAAAGTGTGACAACAGTCAGGAAAAGCATCTTTCAACATATCTGCACATAACACATAAAATGGGGTTATTTTCAGCATAAGGCATTCATATAATTTAAAATGTAGTTTACTTTTCCAATACATTTTATTTCCACATTTGTAAAATGTATCACCAGATTTCTTTCCCAACTTTCTATGCTGGCAATTACATTGTTTTTTTAAGATAAAGACTCACTGTGATCATGATACATGGAGCCAGTTTGGTACAGAACTCATCATCCAACAGCCTTTGGAAAGTTGCGTCTTTTTCCACAATCAAGACAAATTTCGCAGTGGAAACAAAATCTGATTATTAAGGTTAGCTGCATGTGCTTTTAAGAGATAGCTGTTGTTTGATCTAATACTACATTATTATTTTCAAATAATTTGACCACTTCAAATTATATAATCAAAATAAAAATTATATACACACTTTCTAGGAGAAAAAAAACTAATTTGTTTTATAAACAGTAACAGATATGCACAAAGATTACAAACATTTTTCTCTAAAGTTTTGCAAAAGTAAAGGATACTTTTTATACCACAAACATTGGAAGAAACCAGGACTGCCTAAACAAACAGAGACAGAAATCAGTTTTTAAGACAATATCATGCATAAAGTTTTATTTCAATATTCACACAAAATGTAACTGAAAAGTAATAAAATCTGAATACAAAATCTTGCAGTTTTTTACTTTTAAAACATTACACAAAATCATTGGTTGTGAGTTGAGCGTGGAATTAATTAAAAATTAGTCCAAGTATTTAGAATTAGTTCAAATACATTGCATAACATGCTGCCTAAAAGTTCAGAGATCTTTACATCTATTCACTGTAACATTTATCATTAGCGAATAATCTGAATTATTTTTTATGCATAGTGATACCAACGGTAGTCACAGATAAAGCTCAGTGCTATAAATGTGGTACTGTACCTGCCTGCTGTCTCACATACCATGGAGCCAGAGTCACAATTCACCTTAGTGCCATCTTCCTCTGTGTAGCACAGATCACCTGCAATGAAGCCTTTGGAAGATGCAAGCTAGAAAGCATTTACAAAGAAAAACCAAGGCCAAAATACAGTTAGGCTATTGTAAGTAGTATCACTTTCAGATTTATTTTAGCACTTTTTAGGGCTGGTTTCATACACTCAGATTATCCCTACTCCCAGACCAACTTGCTTATATTACCATTAAATAGTACATGGTTAGTCCTAATAACGTTTTGTGAAATCAGTCCAAACTTTTTATCTTAAAAAAGTGCAGAAATAGAGACTTTGTTTAAATAAAGGACAATTGTTTATGTTTTGTTAGTAAAAAACACATGTGGAAATTTAATGTCCATTTGCTTAATCACTAGAACATGTCTAATGAGTACGAGAAGCACATTTTAAACAGAACTTGCACTGTTCATTTGTTTCAAATCTATCTGGAAGGTAATCTAAATGGTTTTCAATGAAAATGAAGGGTTTACATTTTATATACTGTTTCTTAATGATCCAACTTCACGTAACAAAAGGATTAAAACAATTAAGAAAGATAAAGATAAAGTACTGTTAGCAATTAAGAAACAAAAATATACATGAAAGATTAATCAATATGTTTTTGCCACAAAGTTAACTTTTGCATACAACAGCAAGGGATATTAGCAGCGTCTTTGTTGTATGAATTGAAAAGCATGTGACATCATCAAAATCACTCACCACGTGTAGATTCCTGCGTGGAACCCTGAGCATACAGGAAATGTCATCCACTATGAGGTCCACTGTCCTCTGACTTCCAAACAGCTGGGTGTCATTGTAATAGATGTCCCTAAGTAAATGAGGCAGAGATTGTTTGCAATATTCACTTTAAAATATTTAAAAGGAGACCCCTTTTATCAAGAGTTCTTTCTTTCAAAACTGTGATGAGATGTCAAACTGATAATGCTTCAAACTGCTGTGACAACACACAGAGTGATGGTCAATTACAGGATTAGAAGAGAATGGGAACAAACAGGAAGAAGAAAGATATGATGTATATTACTGAAATGTTAATTCATTCATCAGTATTAAACTGGAATACAATAGATGAAGGGCTGTAAGCAACATGAAAAATTGCATCACCTTTTCGTAGCATATGAATTGCTTTGCACCATCTTGTAGATTACAGACAGTACCTTCAGGGTTGTAGCTACAAAACAGTACAATTGATTATTTGTAATATTTTTAATACTTTTATTTTAGTAACATAGGTTACTGAAAAATATTTTGAAATGGAGATTGATTGAATAAAGAATATGTTTTTAAATCTTAGCAAATGTGATTTAATAAACTCTACTCAGACTCTTATAATCATTTGAATAGCAGTTAAATATATTTATGACATTTAACTTTAAATTTATTTATGTCAAAGTTTACATCTTAAACTTGACATGTTACATACACACTGACTCTTTAAAATATAAAAACAAGAAATAAAAAAGAAAATAAGCACACTGCAGTACTGATTAGTTGCAGTGCAAATACATATCTGCACTGCAACTAATCAGCGCTATGAGAAGTCACCTTTAAAGGTGCTATATAAAATTAAGTTTATTATTATTATATCTTAATAAGCATAGTTACCAAATCTGGTCACCGATCTTGAGCAATCACTTCTGATTGTACTGACAGTGTAGTCTGAAGCTGCATGCAGACCAATATCATCTTCAAACCTTCATCAACACAGGAAAGACCACCAATCAGATGTTTGAAACCAGAAAACATCATTGTAATAATGTAATGTGAGTCTAATGTGAGTTCAGTAAGAATGAAGCCAAACCCATAGATGCCACTAGTAACTCAAATCCATAAATTCTTAATTTTTAAGAACTCTTTAAATCTATTCCTTCTCAAACACAATATCCCAAAAGCAGAACAGAATGTTTGATGTGGATTTATCCTTAGGAATAGAGAGTCTTATCATGATAGATCTTCACAGGATGCACAACACAAAGCATTTTATAGCTTTGATTTTCTTTTATGTCCATCATCAAAACTGCACCTTTCTAGAACGGAACTTATTTCATCTTCAAGGCTTAGGGCTATGTACTTCAATTCCAATAAGCTGTTTTATGTATTTCTTTAAAACCTTTTATGTCTGTTATTGTCTAACTCAAGATATTCTTTTCAAACTATATATATATATCAGCTAAGAGCTCAAAATGATATGCATTCTGTGCAAAGTGATTATATGAATAGTCTACCACCAAACATTTAAAGATAATACGGGTCTTCTACAAATGAAAAGACCATTTATATCTTAACCTATGCACTTGATGTATTTTCATTTTACCCACTGTGCAGAAACCTTCCATCTACAAAATAATAATCAGCTATATAATAATTACTTGGTTAATTGACTAAGTATAAGAATATATTGAATAAACTTGATTTATTTAATCATATAGACTTGTTATGGGATAAAAATATTTGCCTTTTTAATATGTTAGGAATTTGGCCTTGCAAACAAATAAAAAACTCATAAAAACCATTGTGATTTTCTCTAAGCAATTAAACCTGGCATATTACATACAACTCATACCTGATGTTGGACCAGCAGGATCTGTTCAGAACAGTCAAAGTTGGTGCCTCACTTTTAGACAGACTGGTTAGTATTGCCTCTATCACATTTTCAATGCGGGCCAGAACAATTTCACTAGGAACAAAAAATGATGTCTTCCTGAAATGTGTTTTGGTGAAGATAAAGAAGCAGGCGACAGTTTAAATGTTATATTTTTAAAAGATGTTGAATTGAAGTGGTTTTATGTACCTTGTAAACTCCTCATCTCCATCACGTAGCAAGGAATCACTGGGTCCGTGATTTTGTACTAATAAGGCCCGAAGCCTGTCAACCTCAATAAACTGTTCAGACATTCACACGTCCAAAATGTGAACATAAACTAGAAAAAATTAGTGCAATGCAGAATTAAACTCAGTCAACAGAGAATACAACCAATGGGGCTTGCATATACATCTGTAATTGTGTTTTCAACTCTTAAAAAGTGAAAATGGAAATTGGTGTCAACCCTGTACCAACTTCTGAGTTTTAGAACTGTACTCATTCAGGCATGTTGCCTGCATGTTGAAATGTAAGCAACTGGACTTCTGCAGAAGGAAAAAAATAAACATACTTTATGGTACATTAACATTCTCTTGAGTGGGTGTCCATCAATTTATCAACTAGTAAGAACAATTTACTCAAAAACAATTTGAGGAGCGGAATATTCTGGGTGTTGAAGTTGTTGAAAACAGTACTCTTGAAGTCAGATATTTTTAATACTCAGGAATGACTGAAGAAACAAATTAAAGGAAAGTCTAAGCAAGCAAGCAGACTGATTCAGTCATCAATTAGCACTGGACATTTAGCGCTTTGCTTGAATGAAGAGAAGCAGACACCATGTTTCTCCGGGATCAGGGGTGGGAACCACTGGGATATGCTCTTCAGCATTGCCTAATTAACCTGCCAGCAACATTCCAGACAGGGATCAAATTCACAACCCAGGGGCTGTGACACACACACCTCCACCCAACACACACAACTGAAAGACACAGAGCAACGTGAAATCAAATACATGTATCAATTCGTTTTGAGAAACAAGTCCATTTACATGGATTTGCGATTCAGTGGGACTTTATCAACTGCGTCGTGGGTTGACACAGCTGCTGAACACAGAGGATAAAAAAGCGTTAGGCAAACTCGGGAGCCCCCAAGACAATGCGTAATATCGTACCTTCTGCTGGGTTAAACGTTTTACTTTAATATTACAGAAAGGTCACTGTTCATAGAGCAGCCCACAAACATATTCATACTGAATTTCAGGACTACCGCTTTCGTTTTACTTATTTTGTTCTATACAAGACAGATTTCTTGCCATTGTTCCTGCACAATAATACAACAGGCCCATAAACCTTACTAATGTTATATCGTGGTATATTACTTGCACTGGACTCCGCGACACAATATCAATAAGTCCAGACTAACCTCGGCAAAGGGAAGGTGTTGTGAACCTTTCTGCGCTGAACTGACTGAGGCGCAAAAGGCGAAGGGAATGTGAGCCGTTCGCGTCAATTCCTGCCGAGGATTTTTTTTTTGGTAAATGCCTTAAAACAAGTAGTACAAACTCTTGGGAGAGAAAAAATGTAGGAAGTGTGTGCAAAGACAACAGTAACCAACGCGACCGAGCCGCTACGGCGTGACGCCTGGGCACGCGCACATCTAACCGTAGCGGGGGGCTGAGATCTGCACGTGGCGGGGACTTCGAACGAAGACCTCTTGCCTGAGGTATAGCTCGTGTTTTTCCGTGTGCAAAATACGGTTTTCCTCATTTTCAATGTTATATGTACGTATTATATGTGCGCTTGTGTTTGTGTGCTTATCAGCTGCACCTGCTAGCGGTTTACTCAGGCTAAGTAAGGCTAGCGCACAAAGCTTTCCGCAATCTGCATTGTTGCGAGATCCATAGCCTGTCTTTATTTTAGGACTTATTTTGCTGTCGGTATTTCCACTACCAAAACATTATTCTGAATAAATACTAAGTCTGTATCATTGTGTATTATTTATAGTAAATCGGGAAAGATTTTGACATAACTTGACAGTAGTTTCCTCGTTTACCTGGAAAGCGTTTTCCTTAAGGATGAAGGTGTAGCTTATCATGTTTAAATCCCTTTGTAATGTGAACATTTAGTCCTCGTTGGCAAGCATTCCATTGTTTGCATGCAAAGTGTAAAAGAAGAAGCACAAGTCCCTTCGTGAATTGTTGGACCCGACGCATTTTTGCGCCTGCGTGATTCTTGGGGGGATGACTGAATTCCCTGGGTAGCGCAAACATTGCTTGCAAAACAATGATCTGGGTCCCAGTCCAGCCGCAACACCCAAATAATTCTTAGCAGTATTTGTACACGACAGTGGATGAGTACAAGGCCTTCTGCGATGCATTTTAAATGTTTTATTATGTGTACGTGCAACCACACAACATCCCAGTTTATTGAATTATACAATACAATTTAACATCTATCCATCCGGTTCTAAACCTCAAGAGCCGGGGAGACCTTCTTGTGTCGTTTGAGTGCACCAGTGCTCACAATAATGCCGTCCAAATGCGCTTAGCATTCCAGAACGTCTCACGGTTCAGACCTAAATGAAAACAGAACCAGAACTTGGCAAGTATAGTCTCAATTTCTGATGCCCTGTTGAGATGAACGCAAGATAAAATGGTGCCTCTCCTTTAGTTGTCGCGACACGATTCTGTTTTTATGAGAGTCTGAAGTCAAAGTACAGGGAGTACGAAGAGCCGTGATATAATTAATAAAAAGGACTAATACAAACTGTCGTCTTTTGTAAATATGTATACTGTTTAATTTTTTTTTACATATTTATGTCATAATACCAGTTTTACAAATTAGTTACAGTATATCGAGGTATGCGAACAATTATTTTTACCGCATGTGGGACCAATGTTTTCATAGCACAAGTTTATTATCTCAGATTGTCTGCAGAATCTGTTATCTGAATCATCGTTAATGTGTTTGAATATTCGCTGAAGTTAAGAAACAAAACTGCGCACTATTTAAATCTCTCTTAGCTTTCGATCTTACCCCAAACACGGAAACGGGTATTTCAGGGTCGCAGAAATCGGAGAATTTCAACGCCTATGACACCCAGTTAGAGCTTAATCGGTATTAAGCAACAGACAGTAAAAGCTACAGTCTATCTTGGCCGGTCAAAGGCAGGGTCACGCTATTTTGTAACGCCCGCTGGGATACCGGTTGCGGAGTGGCCTTGTAGAAGTGGGACAACAGGGAATAATAATAATAATAATAATAATAATAATAATAATTGCTTACACTTATATAGCGCTTTTCTGAACACTCCACTCAAAGCGCTTTACAGGTAATGGGGACTCCCCTCCACCACCACCAATGTGCAGCCCCACCTGGATGTGACACAACAGCAGGGATGTGAGACGAACAGCAGAGTTTTGAGTGAATTGAACAGCGATTAACTGCACGTCCTCGCATCCATCTCCTGCTGCTGATCTACCTTAGTGATTTGTGCTGAGCAGTTCTACCGTTTCCAAAAAGAACGGGCTCGCTCGCTGTAAAAGTCGATTCATTAGTGACAAAGGGAGACCTGTCTGCCTTTTTTCAAAAGTTAGTTTGCACATGACATGTTTCAGAGCTGTGTGGCCCAGGCCCTTCGGCTGTTAGCACCTCATTGTGCCACATTGGGCACATTAGCGCCTCCCGTGGCATCAACGCTCTCTGTAAAAGCAATCCTTTGCCGACTCCGGAAGACACTCATAAATGGCCGGCGCAGCGCTGCTTGACGATTCTTGATCAAACGTTTTCCAATGAGACCACATTAAAAGACATTAAAAGAGGAGGGAGGAGCAATAGGCCACCCGAGAAGGCACGTTATGCAAAACAAGAGAAGCAGTTTGTATCACAGAGCTTAACTGTCACCGAAAGTCAATTGATAAAAACGAGTTCTTTATTCCATGTCAAAAGTAGAGCAATGGATAGTCTAGAAGTGGGCAGAGTTATGTCCTGTCCAAACACAAAGGGTTAAATAAATAGGAGAGGTGGGGGGGTGAAAATGAGAATACGTGTAAAAAACCCATAGCTTAATGGCTTGTGTGGATGGTATGGCGTGCTAGCAGCAGACTGCAGAGCCCGGGACACGTGAGGGTGTATCTGGTGTGTAATTTTCAGTCAAGACTTCCTTTCCTCCACCGTCCCCCACTCCCAGCAGCTGCCTTTGAATCTCCAACATGTTTGTTTTCTGTGAAACACAAAGTGACAGCACTGTCGTCCCACAGATCAGGAAACAGCTATAATTCTTAAAATATGTCATAACTGCTTCTAATTAGAGTGTATTTACAGCCGGCAGGCCTGGAGTCTGCTGCGCGCTCTTCACTTCACCTACTTCAGCTCCTCCGTTGTGCCTGGCTCTTGCCCTGAGATGCCCAAAGTGAGCTCAGCCTCTTCATAGCCCTATTTTTAAAGCAGAAGGTTGGTTTTCATTTGCAGCAAGCAGCTGAGTGGCAGTACGAGACAGCTTGGGAAGGGAAAGGATAGGAACCAAGTCCTGCTTGTGACACATAAAGAGAGGAAACCCTCCTGCGTGAATCCCAAGCCTTTGCCTATATGGGGAGCGTACAGGTAGAATTATGCACTTACTAACTTAAGCTGAGTAGCACGTCTAACAGTAAAACAATCTGGCCTATATTTCTCTGAAGGCACATAAAAATGTATTTTTGTTTATAAAAAAGGATTGCGATTTTGTTATATATTGGGATGCAAAAAAAAAAAAACAAAAAGGCCTTTGCCCCAGTCTGATCTCTATTATTTAAGAAAAACAATTGCTTTAAAAAAAATAGACACCCCACCTTTTACCCAATGCCAAAACAAGCATGAAGGCAAAGTGCTACCATATAGCTTTCCATTCATAACATCCTTAATCTGTAAAAGGCCATAACATCTGGGGCGATTGAGATAAACAGGATCTCTTCTGCTTTAGGGATGGTGAGAGATCTTGGCAGATGTGGAGTGTTAACCTGGAAAGACAGAGAGCGCTGAGTCATGTGCTTGTCTCGGGATATGCATTTTCACTGGGCAATGGGAGAGGGCAAAGGGTCAGGAACACAGGGCTAACAACTGCAGGTGAGTGGGATTAGCTTCAGTCAGAAGCCCAAAGAAAAAGAAATAGAGATCTGTTAGACTAATCCTGACAAATGGAAAACAGAACAACAGCCTAACCCCCTCTGCTTCCCATCTGCTATTGCAAAATGCAGCTTCCTTTGGTGTGGTATTGTTAAAGGCAATCGAGCAGTAGTCTGTGAAAGAGGGTGACAGAACATATGAGGGCTGTGAAGACAGTTCAGAATCACAACTTTTCTCACCAGCTAAAAGAATAAATAAAAAATGTAGATACCATAAGGCTCTAATTTTACTGCAGTTGGATGCAGTATTTTGTAGACTGTAAATATGGTTAATACACAGTCATTCTTTGTCTCTTTGGAAAGAAATGAATCAGATAAATGATGTACTTTAACATCGAAGTGGAAATGCCACCATTAAAGGTCAGATTGTTCAATATTGTTCATTGCTGTGGCAGACGTTTGTAACAGACACACTACTTCACTTTCCAATATTGCCCTGACAAGGTGGGTTCGACAGAACAGCAAGATCACAGGGTCACTTGCTTTTGTGTCCAGACCGTCATAGTTTAGAATTGACAGACAGCAGCAAAAACATGACAAAAGCAACAGTTCAATAAAGATCCAACCATTTTCCCACATTATCTAACACAGGGTCAGGAAGGAGACAGATTCTAACCCAGCAAGCAACTGGCACCAGACAGGATACACCCTGGACAGGACACACACACTCACACCAGGGCCAGCTTTTTCCCAGAAGCCAATTAACCTATCATTATGTCTTTGGACTGTGGGAGGAAACTGGAGTACAGGGAGAAAACCCATGCAAACATGGGGAGAACATGCAAACTCCAGACAGATGGCTCCCCAGGAATTGAGCCCAGTGCTCCCGCACTGTGAGGCAGCCACGCTAACCACTGTGCCACCCAATACACAATACTCCAAAAAAGATCTTTGCAGAAAGTTAAATGAGTTTAAAAATGCAGTTTAACACATGAAAAATAGTTTACACTTGTTAATCTGTCTTTACTTTGCACTAGAACAGCTGCATTTCATATGTCTTCAGAACACGAAAGTGCCAAATGCTAATTCAGACATTTGCAATCACTCAGTTTCACCTGGTTAGATGTCTGAGAGGCAGGTCTTTGGAGCTGTGGAGCAAGCTCTGTGTGAAAATCTAGACAGAAAAGAATTTGACCTTTGACTCCACATCACGTAATTTAAAGGTCAGTTTACCTTGAAAAAAATACTTTTACTGTATGCTCTGCAGAACTGCCTGCTGTGCCTTCCTTCCAGTCTTCAAAGGAGCACAGACCTTGGTATTTAAGAAATGAATGAAATAAATATTAATTTGACCTCTGTCAGTTACTAGATCTGAGGTCAAATGTCCAAAGGTAGCCGTCTTTTATGGACGAAGGAATGGAACTCTATCTCCTTCTTTCTGCAAGACCAAAGTAATACACATGGGGCTGTTTTGTACTGGAGTTTGGCTTTGCATGAACTGTTGTCAAGCTGTAACCTGCAGGCTACATGTCTGTTTCAGCAAGCCTCTGAGATAGGCGATTGGGAGGAATCCTCCGTGCTGGTGTGTTGGAGATTGCTGCTTTGACAGCCTGTCTTGTGTGGGCGAGTGAATGTTAAGATCTACAGATGAAGATCTGGACACAACAAAACAATATCTGAAAAACAACCAATCCCCATTTTCCAAAGAAGGGCTCAGGAACTTTTTATGTACATTTGAGGGGGCTGTAAATGGGCCAGGAAGGGTGGGAGCCAGCGTTTTGAGTGTATTTAAATTCTGAGATGCTGTATGATGGGTTTGGAGGACTGTTCAGTGCTCACGACAGAGAGGTGAGTGGGTTCGAGTTGAAGTGAGTTCGAATATAGAGGATCCTCCAGGACTAAGAGATACAGGTCCAGCTAAATTACTTAACATCTTTACACAATTGTTAGTGTCATAAACAAGACTTTCTGTGAGTGGAAAAAAAGGAATTTCACAGCTCTTTCAAAACCTACTATGGTTAGCTTAAAGGTCTTCAGAGGTTGCCTGTGGCACTTTGCATTTTTATTGCTTGTAATGTTTTCGGCAAGAGATGGTGTAAATGCGCTTTGTATTCTGGCCACCTTGCTAATGTGAGACACCGATCTTTCCCCTGTTCTCAATTACCATGACAACTTCATTGGGATGCTATTGACCACTGGAGGGCTTGACTAATAACTCACTCACCACAGGGTAAGGAGGGGTATGGGCATCTTAGACTACTGTGATAACAGACACTGTATTCAAATGTGAGGCAAATGTGTTTGCCTCTTCTGACAAAATAAAATCCGTGTGTACACATAGATGAGTGTGCACAAGAGAAAGAAGTGCATACTGGAGTGTGAGGGAGAGAGTGTGAGCAAAACCAGTATGAGCTCAATCTCCTGTTCTGCTCTGCTTCCTCTGGTCAAAGACTAGTCAGTGCACATGCTCCTTAAGCCTCAGCCCGTGCCACTGTTTGCAGAGAGGGTCATTAGAGGCAGTTTGACCGGAACAAAAGGAGCTCTGTTCCTATTGTACTGCCTGAGATTGACATCCTTCAGTCTGATTGTCCCATTTCACAAGGGGTGGGGACTGGCTTAACACTGGAGCTCTCTACCCACTTCAACAACAGCCAACCTTTTAGCATCTCAGTTAGAAGCCACTGCAAAATAAACAGGCGGTCCCTTTTAGTCGCTTCAATTAAGGTAACAGGCCACGTCTGCATGGTCTAGTGGCTGCTGAAATTAAATGGCTGTCAACTGGTAAACAACAAAATAAACACATTATCAAAAATATATTTTTGGGAGGAGCTAATCTACTCCATTAAATTTCTTTCCTTCATTTAATTTGCATTCAAAGTAGAGCTTGCCTGCACATGCTTGTAAGGCAAACTCAGTTTGTCAGTTTCAAGCAAACTTCTTAAATATTGCAAGCCACATGGTAACGAGCAGTCCTTTGTGATCCCATTTAATCTTCTTTGGGAAATGTCTTAGTAAAATCAGGGTCAGTAAAGGATTAACAGTGTTTGATGTGGAGCTGCCATCAGCACTCTGCGTGGTTATTTATAATGATCATAATACAATTTAAAATATATATATTTATAAATATTTTTTTTTATTTTTCAAACATCACATACCACAGCTGGACAAGCACTAGAAGTTAGGAGTCTTCCTTTGGCTCTGTCATACACAGAGCCTGATACTGTACTGGAAATGCAGGACTGCTGAAGTGCTTGTGGCAGACAGAATGAGGTGTCACACATCTGCACCCAGATCCTAGCTTTGGTGCTACTTAAAGCAGGGTTGTGCGTTCTGATTGTGTAGTAGCAAGTTTGAGATCTTCGAGTTGATATGTTCCTGATCTGAGCGCTTCACAAATTTCCCAAAACTTTTTTTTTCTTTACAGCTTTTTTCTTTCGGTTTTCATTTGTGGTCGGGGTCGGTATTCACAATCGCATTATAATTGCACATTCATAAGGCACAGTTCAGTAATGAGGAAGACAGCTAACAAGTCATTTAATGCTACTATAAACAGACATCATAGAAGTGGAATTCAAGCACCAACCAAGCACAGTATATAAAAATGCAAAACAGGTACTTAAATATGATGAGATTAATATGGGTTGTAATTGCATTGAGATACTTAGTAGCAGTGTTTTCTCTTTATTGTTTCCTACAAACATGACGTTCAATAAAATATTTTTCATTGCAGTGGAACGAATTGATTTATCCTAACAGAAGAGTAAGTACATTTTTTTATTATTTAATGTTTGCGTATTAAACGCGTTTGCTGTTTCCTGCGATTTAAAGGGAAACCAGGGTAATCCAACAACAACCGAAACACCATCCGCCAATAAATCGCCTCTTGTAGCCACGAAAAGTAAATCGCAGACGAGTCGCTCACAAAGGACTCTCCGGGAGTCCGTGATGGACAAGGAGAAACATTCTCCCCCACTGCCTAACAAAAGAAACTAGACACATAATCTTCTGACTTCTTTCAAAAGTGTGTTTACAATACAGCGCCTTAAACTGCTGTCGGGGGGAGAGAATTCGTCTCCACCCATCTCTCTGCCAAGACAGACAAACATCTTGAAAGGCAACCTTGATAATACACCCCTGCTCCGCTCCCCCCCGTATTTCTCTCTTATCGACACCCCTACCTCGGGCGCGCACACCCCTCTTCCCTGCTCCAGGCTTTGTTAAGTAGGAGCAGAGGCTGCCTCCGCTCCTCCCAGCAGATAGCACCTCCTCGAAGTTTTGCTGTCTGCTTTCAGAGCCCTGGTCGCTGTAGCCGTAGCGCTTCTTGAGGAGTTATGAGCTTGTGCAGGAGAGGGAAAGCACGACAAAAAAGGATCATCTCGTCCTGAGACGACCAGATGAAAAACGGAGTATAAATACAATACTGGATTTACACCAATATATATATATCTTGCAGATTTCAATTAATGCATCCAATGGGTTACCGGTCCCTCAATATGGGGGAGCTAAGCTGATGCTGGGGGGATGAATATTCTTATGTATGCTGTACATTTATAGCTATATAGATACGGACGGAACAGGTTAGCCGGAAGATTTTATCTTGAAGCACTTTCCATTAAATACCAAGGCAAGGATATCCCTCTTTATTTTGCACTGTGCGAAACTGGTCACATTGGCAATAACGAAAGAGAACCGAAATCTTGTAAAATAACAGAAATGATTTCGTTTCTTGACACAACTGCTCCAGCACTGGTTCTCTTGTGCGGCTACTGCGTCCTGGCCGACACCGTGCTCACGAACTTCACTTTGGATAACGAAGTGCATTCGAGTTTCATACATCGGCGCCTGAAAAGCCAGGAGCGCCGGGAGATGCAGCGGGAGATCCTTTCCATTCTGGGGCTGCCGCACCGGCCCCGTCCTCACCTTCACGGGAAGCACAACGCGGCGCCGATGTTCATGCTGGACCTGTACAATGCCATGTCTACCGAGGGAGAGGAGGACGGCTACTCGTATCCCTACAAGCCGATCTTCACCACCCAGGGACCCCCGATAGCGACTTTACAAGACAACAACTTCCTCAACGATGCTGACATGGTCATGAGCTTTGTCAACCTAGGTATGTTCACTAAGGCGGCGAGGTGTTGCTCTTCGTTTAGATGTTATTTTTGCGAGTAGAACAAAATATGTATTTCTCCTGTTTCGAACAGTATCTTTTCTTAATCCGAATCTGTTTTTAACAACGATGCATCAAACAGAAAGGAAGACCAGAGTTTCGTTCTTTAATGCCTGAAGATTTTTTTTTTCTACAGGGAAGTTATAGTTTTTGCCAGAACAAAAATAACGTATTCCTTTTAAATATAATACAAAGATGCTATTACAATTTTATATAGCACCGCTTCACAGTAAGCAAAAAAGATGAACGGAAGGTTAAATTGATTCTTGAAAACGTATTAGCCTTACTGTAATATTTTCACGGCTAATATTTATTTAACTTGTAACTGAAATTAGGATAATGTACTGTATGCCGTATTGTCATCTTGATCAAATTTATCTTGGTGGTGTGTTTTACTTTGTCTTCCCAGGAGGATTAGTGTGTAAGCAGTGAAGTAATCCTAACTGTTGCATACTGCCAAAACTTGCACATAAATGTGGCTTGGATAAAACATTTCACAGGGAACAGTGACAAGATTAAAAACCGTGTGATGTATGCCCATTAAACTGTCCGTGTTATCCAGAAATTTACCTTCAAGCGTAACGCACCTGTATAATTTATATCGAGAGGGCAGGATTATACCAGAAAGGCTGTTGTCTGGGCTCTGTCGAGTTAATTTACCGAAGCAAGCTTCTGAAACCCGCTATGGAGGAACACAGGCGAATTGATTTCAGTTTTCTGTTTTGGGCATATTTTGTAAATTTTCTTTCTGCTCTTTAAGGGTTAAATAGTTGTTATTGGTATCAATCATGTTCCAGTTCCCAGATTCAGTTCCAGGTTCAGAACTGCGGTCATTCAGGTGTGTAGGCTGAATGTTGAAATGTAAAGAAATGGACTAATGCAAAAAGAAAAAAAACGCTCGTTGTGGGAGTGTATGATACACTGACATTCCCACCTGTGTTTCCATCGACTGACCAATTAGTAAGAACCATCTAGTCACATTCAAGTTGAGGAGTGTAAAACAGTACCCTTTAAATAAGGTATGTTTGACACTCAAAGATCAAAAGTTGATCGAAGAAACAAGTTAAAAGTCTAAACAAGCGAGCAAATTGATTAAGTCGGCAATTGGCACTGAAGGTTTAGCACTTTGTTGGGATGAAACCTAACAAACACAGTGTTCGTGCAGGACCAAGAGTGAGCATCGAGATACACATAATAGTTCCGCATTGTAGACCAGAAGAAACACATTTCCCGTGGAGTCATTACATTCCTGATAGTTATCCATAATGCACTCTGATGGTTGCTGTATAAGCACAGTTCTGATGTATAAGCACCTGTTTAAAAAAAGAGTTTTGTTCCAAATGCCAATGCTTATTGCTACCTTAACCTGGTCAGCTTCAGGGCTGGCATTTGTTTTAGGAAAAAAACTGGGAGGTGACAGTAAATGCCTATTTTGGAAGTGTACTATTATGGTACGATCTTTTACATCATTGTTTATTTTAGGCATTGACAGACGCGGATGTATATAGCCACAAAGCTGACAAGAGTGAAAGGCCTTATTTCACTGGGAGTGATGATCACTCTCGAAGCTGTGTTTCAAAAGCTTGATGAATGACACCAAGTAAATTGACACAGTATTGCTAAGAAAGGCTACAAGCAAGAAGATGCCCAGTGTTAGGAGTGCTCCTTTTGACACGCTCAAGTAGAACTCAAAATAAACTACTGTGTCGAACATAAATAATAGTGATAATATCAATAAACAAAATAAGAACATCTTGAAAACAATTGTATAAAAACTCTACTGACCAGTGCTGAAGAATGCCATCATGTGTACTGAGAAGGGCTCCTTTTAGATGTCGTTCTGTAGGAAATTATAGCTTTATATTTATAGACAAGTTTACATTGTCTTTGGTTCCTTTCCCGATTTCCACATTTCTGTAGCTCCTTAGGTGTCCTTACTTTGTGCTTCATGTCATTGTGTGATATTAGAAAGAATGGAAAGTAAAAAATTAAAAATAAAACTATTCTTTAAGATCATTATATAGTCAATAATCCTTATCACACAACAATGGAGCAACGTTTAATTAATGTGGTAAATAGGAAATTGCAGACTACGTGACGAAATGGTGAAAAGTAAGGTATGGTTTGATTTAAGTGGTTCAGGATTTTAATAAGCAGAATATACAGTATATTGCTGTGTCAGTGCTAGTTGAATTCTGTTTGCAGTTTCTGTGGACTTTATTATTCAAATATACTACAAGATTTTACACAAGAGAGGCAAAACCTCATATTAAAGTCACATTTATTACACAAAGAAAAATCATTAACAGTAAACTAAAAGAACAAGATGTACTTTTGTTAGGTTATACAGGGAAAGAGAAAGCATTCATTATGATAACCCATATTATAATATTCTCTGCAATTAAACCTTTCTATACATGCATATATATAGATACTTGTAACCTGTAATTTGATATAAACTCTTTAATCTTGTCAAAACTTGCTTTGTGAAGGTCTTATCTTCTGTATGCTCCTTGCTAAACTGGCAATAGAGATTATGAGGCTGAACATTTGACTAGCTAACGTCAGTGTGAAGCCACCAGCAAAAATGCTTTTGTATTTTTTAATGTTTAAATGTCTCCGCTGGAGATTGATGGCTATGTGAGATATCAGAGTTATACAAAAAGGATTTAAAAATGGATTGTACTGTAACACTGTAGTGGAAACCACATTGATATTTTAAAGACCTTGAGTAACATTACAGACATTGAATATGTTTTAGAGGTAATATTTTATTAAGTAAGTGCAAAGTTTTTTAAAGTCTGACCAGTGCTATTTTAACCAATAGACAAAATTTGTATGTTTTAATCTTGAGGTTAGCATGTGCCCCAGAGCTTAAAATATTTTTTTTATACTGGGATGCTTCTTTTAATTGAAGACTGTTAGAGTCCGAATGTTAAATATTATGACAGCACCTTGGTATCCGATTTCACTGAAATTCCCTTAGAAGTACAGAGAAGCTGGGCTTATAATAGTTTGGTTTTGCTTCACTGCATTTTAGACAGGCATTTTTCAATGAAGAGAAGGAATGACTCTGAGTGATAGGAGAGACTGGAACTGGGGGTACAGTCACAGGGGCATTCCTTCCAATACAGAAAATCTACATAGTCCCTAAGCTTTTCTTTTCATTGTGGGAATACCTATTTGCTGTTACAGCATTATAATTATGATTATAAATAGTGTTACTATTTGGACTGCAAAGTGAAAATAAATATGTCGCCTCTACTAAAGAGAAGGTAAAAAAACATGCAGGGTTAGATTTTGCTTTGAATTCATGTGCCATTCAGTAAGTTAAGCTCTTCCAAGTGCTTCTATGCCAACCCACACCTCAGATATAAAACATTACATTTTGCTTCCTTTCAGGAAATTTATCGAATTGCCAACATTTAAAAATAGTGGAGAGTGTCTGACTAGTCAAGGGCGTTCAGACAGTTTCTGACACTTGAAAGGCAATTTGTGTCATGAAACCATCAATCAGAGAGAAACATCTCGTTTGGGAAGAGGGGACATTTATTTTCCCTGTAGAGCTGACAGGCTCCAGAGTACTGATTGCTCCCTATGGTCTTTGGATTGCCAGTTCTGTCAGATCTCAGGAGCTAAGCGAGGCTGGGCCTGGACTGCACTGTGAGTAGAAACCCCTTAGGAAAAGCAGATTGCTAGCAATCGGCTTTTCCAAATCAATCAGTATGATCACAGAGAACTGTGGTGCAGGATGTGCTGTTTTTCTGGTGAGATGTTAAACTGAGGTCCCATGTACTAGGTCATTGAAGATCCTGTGGAACTTTTCGTAAAAGTTAGGGATGTTAACCTGGCTGAGCTAACTTGGCTAGCTAAATTACACTCTGGGCTTGCTCATACTGGACTCCCTTTATTCACTTGGTGAAGCAAAGTACCGTATAAGTGCAAGGAATTATTATTTAACCATCTGTGAGTGGGCTCCTCGAAACAGTAGCACACAAACGGCTGAGCTGGTGGACACGAGTCGTAGGAGGATCCCCAGCTGGCCGCGTGCAGTCATGAACGCTTGTGGCTTCCCCCATGCTTGAGAGCTCGGAGTGTTATCGGCGAGGACGGCAGCCGCCCTCCTTCCAATACCTCAGCCTTCCAGGGGTGTGCGCGGATTCGTGGAGGGAATAGGAGCCGGGCAGCCCGGGAGCATGCGCTGTGAAAGACGTGTTGGACACTGTGCTTGTCTCCCGTCCTCGAGGGAGGGCTGGTGGCAGGGATCTGACTGTAAGGAAGTAAGGATTCCCCATTGTAGGGACATAAACGGAAACATGCACTGGCAAAGACACTTATAGGAAGGGGGGGGGGGAGACGAGAGTAAAGTAGTAGAGGTGGAGGCTGCTGGGCTTGATGCCTCTTGCAATGGAGCATGTTAGGACGGGTTAGGCAGGCCTGCCAACCAAGTCTAGGCCGCATTCACGGGAGCTCTCAGCTTTCATCCCCCTCACACGTCCTCCTTCCCTTCTGACACAGGATAAAGGTATGTTTATGCGAGGGCTCCACATGAGAGGGAGCTTTGTTTTGCAAGCTGTGTCTCCCTCTAAGTACTGATAAGAGTTGTGCTGACAGGGGCCACAGATCCTAGTCTTATCGTTTCGCAGGCTGGCTCCCCAACACTTCCTACTTGTGCTCTCGGCTAATTATTTTATTCATTCAGATTGTGCGGTCCCCAGCGCGCTTGCCCACAGCCACACTGAATTAAACTATTTCCCTTCAACAAACCACAGCTCAACAGAGATGGCTGCCTGCTTGTGTTGGCAGGGAAGAAATAGCTGCCTGGAGAATTGCACACATGAACTGAGCGCCTTCCCAACGATGTGGTTTTATGCGCAGTTAAGATAGGAGTCTGAGGCTTATCTGTTCTTAAGGTAGGTAAATAAAGGATTGGGTCAAGATTT